TGACTGGATCTGTGGATAGAACGTCACTACCTACTTGTTTCTCTCCCTAACACCCTGGGGATTCGTGTCATTACAAGAAGTATTTAGGACTACAACAACTTTTAGTATTTTAATCATCTGTTAAAAGTTGTAGTTTTAGTTTAGTTTTTTATTTTATTATTGTGTCATACATACATCCATATGCCCAGCATAGGCTTACATGACACTATAAATTGGGCTTACATGACACTATAAATTAAAAACGTTCCCGGTTCAGAGTGCACTAGGTAAGCTATATTCATTGTCAAGAAACAAACAGAGAAAGCAAGAAGTCAAACTAATTAAACAGAATATCCTGTCTTCTTTTCCAAGCTTTTGAAACAAAACTAGCAAGTTTAAACACATGCAACTTAAACAGCCATTCCAGTTTCTGCACATCTGTCCGCCCCAATATTTTAGATTTTACTTCACGAAACAATAATTCTCTTAAATCATCATATTTTGTACAATGCAAAAGATAATTGGTTTCAACTTCGCCCAACTCACACATCTCACAAAGTCTGTTTTCTACTGGAATATTTTTGAATCGACCAACTTCAATGGCCAGAGGGAGAATACCAGATCTTAACTGTGCGACCAAGGATCTTTGGCTTCTTGATAAGTGACACTTTACATATAACTCGGTCATAACATTATTTTTGATCTGCACATATGTCCTTAGTTTTGGCTTGGACAGAGCGTTTTCAAACCATTTTTCTTCATCAAGACCTTATCTTTCATGGAGTTAATGTCACAGCACAGATTATTCATGTAAACATACGTCATATCCACCTCCTCGAAGATTGAGTAAAGCTCGTTTGCCCATGGAGAGTTATGTTTTTTGCTCCACATAAACACTTTCTTGTTTATTCGGTCCTCTGCCATTTTGGTTAGTCGATTCCACAATCGGATCATTTCACATTTTCGAAGTACCACCCCTGGCACCCAGCCCATGTCCCCCTGAATTGCTGGAATTGCAAATCTATGAACACCCAGAAAGCATCGTATAGCTCTATTCTGTACAGTATCTATGTTGTTGTAATTTTTTAAACCCCACACCCCTGCAGCATAGTTCAAAATGGGAGATACACATGCATCGTAGAGCTGGATAGGTAACATATCCAAGGTCCTTACATACTTTCAGTTTATTACAGACAGATCCCAAGGCTCTTCAAGCAGAATCAACAAGACATCCTATTCCAATAGAATAGAATATAGAATCTACCATCCACACCAGCTTCTAGAAGTTTGAATGAAAGCAAATCTCTACTAATCCAATCAAATGCTTTTTGAAATTCAATAAAACATGCAAAAGTGGGTTAACCTTTAGCCATTCTAGTTCTAATTATAGATGTTACTGAGTGTATATGATCAATACAGGCTCGCTGTTTTCGAAATCCATTTTGCTCATCAACAAGATAGGGTCCCAGTTCTAAGTACTGCGTGAGCCTATTATTTAGTGTAACAACACCACAGGTAACTGAACCCAAAAGCACGATTCAAAACGCAGTCTTTGATTGGGGGGAAAAAAAACAGTCTTTACTCTTTTAGCAGACACAGTCCAAAAAAGTGATCAAAGAGGAAAGAAAAGGCTTGAACGCTTCTCACAGGGGTCAAAGACGAACTGTCACAGAAGGAAGGGAAGCTTCAGACTAAATACTAGGGTGAGGGGGAAGACAACGAGATGCAGCTGGGAACAATCAGGGCAGGGCAGACAATCACACAGATGGGAAACACATGACAGCAGGAAGTGAAGGATCTGAAACGAGAGGAGAAGTTAGTGACCCAAAACTGGAAATAATACAAGATAGAAATAAAAACAACCTAAGACACTGAGCTGGACATGACAATTTAGTATGTAAGAATACAATTTATAGGCCGTACTAAGGAGACTGAATCATCTACAATTCGAGGGTATTCTGGGATCGTTCTTTGATGATTTTGGTACAGGCTTAATAATGAATTTGTACCATTCAGATGGGATTATACCATGTTTAAAACATGTTTTTAAAGTTAGAACAGAACCTCTGTTCCCTTTGGACTTCTTCTACAGTAATATCATGGTTCAAAATCATATTTTGGTTCCTTCCTGCCATGTTCATATGATTCTCCAACTCACATTTTGTAACACAAATGTCATTTAAGAACACATCATTGAACCCAAGTGGAATATGGTTACCTGATAATATACCGGCAAAATCTTTTTCCCATTTTCTCAGCACTAGCTCTCAATCTCAACATTATCTAATATAGTTTCCACTGGAATTTTCTTTATTTTCTTTGGGCCCAATTTATTTATCTCCTTGCAGAATTTTTGTGGATTGTTACTTTGTAGTCGGTCCAACTTTAATGCATGTCCGCTTCTGAACTACCTTTTATAAATCCTTACATTTTTGTCAAAACAGATTTTGCTTGCCTTTATCATTCTATAATGTTTTAAGTGATGGGTTCCTACATTAAAGCCCTACATATTTTCTGATATTAGGAATAAAGTATCTATCTATCTATTTATCTATCTATCTATCTATCGAGCAGTTTTGGTTAAGTCAGGATGCAACCTTTAACATTTCCTTGGTTAGTTTGAGTGCAACTTCTTCTGCAGTTCTACCATGCGTACAAAATAACTGTATTTTTAGCATATATTAAAATATCACACTGGCCACAAACAGATGGCAGATCAGTGATGTACATGCAGAACAGGGTAGGGCCCAAACCAGAGCCCTTCAGGACACCCAGTTGATAGGTATAGGGCGTACGATTTATATTTATAATTTTTACAAGCTGTGAGTGGGATGAGAAGTACGATTTGATAAGACTAAGTTGATAGACTCTATGGAAAAGCTGAAGTTGAGTAGTTAATGTAGTAGATTGCTATGATTAACAGTGTCAAATGCTTTGCACAAGTGAAGGAACGCAGCCACCGCAACCCCACTGTCATCCATTGATGCCTTAACTTTTTTCTTTCAAAAAGCATGTAGCTGTTTTGTTGAGTGATTAGAGTGATAGAAACCTCAATTTTGAATATTAAATTGTCATGCAATTTTATACACACATTCATAATCCCAAGAGGACAAATTATCTAAAATTGTGTGTTTATCTGACCTTTCTGCTAGCAATATTGCAATGGTTCAATTCCTTGCTTTAAGCCCTGCAAGACATTTCCATGACCCTCAACTGAACTAGAATATGTTGCCTCATGTAAGTTAATATTTAGTTTGGGAACGTTCTAGCTGCAGGAAGTTAAAGTAGCTCATGTTATGCAATCAGATTTTTGGAGTCTACCCAAAGTTTTCATGTTTTTCTGGCTATCGTTCAAAGATTATGTGACGCAAACTGCACTAAAGTTCTCTCAGCTGCCAAGTGAAACAAAATCAGGCTGGGAAATGTCCAAGGATCAGAAAAAAAAGAAGAGGGCAGGAAGACAGCCACCAGTGCTATACATTAGCTTATAATGGGAGGCAGGTGTTGATGGGGAAACTTTTATATTGTGTTTTATTTCAGGAGTGAACATTTTGTGAAGTTGTTTAAGCCGCATTTGTATTCCAGCAAGAAATCTTTGATGTGATGACAGTAAAATAATGAAAAAAATGCTTAAGAGAGGATATTTAAAAAAAAATGTGTGAGACTTATCTCTTGCACTTAATTTATAAAAGACAAGTTAAGATAAGAAAAAACAAGCATGTTCTTAAAGTATAACAAGATTAGTATTGAAACAATTTATTTGATTATATTTAATTTAAGAAAGTATACTGGAATACACTATGGATAGATATCAAATAAAATCATACTAAGCAATAAAGGTGGAGTTCAGATGTATACATGGTGCATTCTGGTTAAAAGCCACGCAGCATTTAGCCGCTTGACAAGCTCGATACTGAAATTAGCACTTTGCACTTTATTGAACTTGTTCTGAATATAATTTATTTTTGAATAAAAAAAATCTCTAAAAAAAGTCTCTACTGGGTCCTTTGTTTGGTCAGTTCATTCTGTCATGAACAGGAAAACTCTGAAAAACTAAATTAAACCAGATCAAATCATGACAACTAGGATTACATGGTCTGTCATCACTTTTGATACTCCTTTCATCATTTGATTCAACATTTTTTATATCAAACTTTCTGTAATGCGTTGCTTTTCCTTAACATTTTGCTGTTTTTGTAGAAGTTACTTGTGTTCTGTTGTTTTGGTTACTAATCTCCTGCCTGTTAAACTGTTACATACCTTTACTGTGGATCATTTTTTGTGATTGTCTTGCATCTCCGAATAAATTCATATTTAGTCCACTTTTAATTGCAAGACATCAGAGGCAACAGAAAAAAAATATCAAACCTACAGTCAATTTTTATTTTTTTCTGCTCTCATTACCTTTATCAAACACTCTTTGCTTAGTTTCCAAATGAATATCAAATGTGTATCTCTGGATAGGGCTCGTCATTAAACCAAAGGAAGAAAAAGATAATGCAATGAGAAAAATAAACCGTACATTTTCATCATTATTTAATACTGACCAAAGTAAAGAGATCCAAACTCAGTGTCTAGATCTTTAAAAACATTCATTTTCATCGTATTTCAGCATTTAATTGATGTCTTTGATAGTTTGTACCAGATGAATTAGTCTGTACTGGTCTGTTGTGAATGTGCTGAAAGTGCACAAAAAATGATTTCCGATAAACTTGCCTGACAGGTATAGACCAGAGAGAAAGTGTTGTTGACATGTTACAGGAATTAATGGGGTGTGTTTATCTGGTGGGAAAGGTATGTGTTGTTTTTGTCATCATGCTTGTCTTTTCAATCATGTTGAAACAGATTTGAAGTGCTTCTCATGCACTTCATGATTATACATTTCACACACTGAAGTTTCCCACACACAATTGTTGTTAAAGATCTCACTAAATTGGCAGAAAACTTGATCATGGTGACTTAAATAATAATCCAACCTTGCTTGGGTACATAACCCCTCTTTTCAAAGAAGCAAAACAACATCATGTAATGTATCTGTTTATTAATAAAGTGCTCATGTTTGGCTACAGAATAAGTAAAAAAGTGACAAAGAACATAGACAGGCAACATTGCAACTCTTCTTTTCCAACACCAGCAACACAAGTCAGAAATAGTCATTCAGCAATCATTGAAGTACAACAAACCGCAAAGATATAGTTTTATGAAAAAAATATATAATCTTGGATGTCGATGGCTCGAGTGGTCTCGGTGTTATCTACATAGTCAAAATCACACAACTTCTGAAAACAGTTGTTTAATGTCTTGTAAGTCTAAGATCAAGTATTTTGAGTTTCATTTCATTCATCTGACATTATCAGAATTGGAAATTAAGTGTCCGGTGTTTTTGGAGTAGACTCAAAATCTATATATTAGGAAACTCTACTTTAAAAGCAAGAATACCCCTAGAATAAAGTACAAGTTGACACCAAGCCCCACCAGTGAATTGAAAACATCTTCAGAATAACTCCAATGCTATCTTGGTCCAGAGATGGAGCATATCCGGTAGCATGGGGTACAAAGGAAGCATGGTGATAATATGCTGTAGAAGGGGAAGTTGGGTTGGAGTTGGATGCCTGCAAACAAACAGAGAGACAGAAGAGTAAACAGAGATAGTGAAATATAAACTAAGACAATGGTGGGATGATAATAGAGATTGACGCTAAAGAGGGAAGAAGTAGTGGATTGTTATGTTTCAAAGGCTAGTGTATCTTTAGAAATACAAAAATCCGCTGGCACATTTATTGACAACAACTTGAGGCGTGAACACCAACACACTCCTGTGCTAAGAGCCTGATAAAAAGTAACATCATGCTCACAATGAGGATTTTGAAGTCAGCGTCTCTTTATTCAAGCAGTGCACAGGATCTCACACAACACAAAGTTGTGGGAGAGGCGCTCCCCGAACAGAGAGGAGTCTCAGTATTTCAGCACAAAACAGATAACACTTAACATGCATCATGCTTAGCAACAGAGAAGTTATCTCTTTTCTGGTCCTAGTTGTACCATCTTTCTACTATCCCCAAGGACACCTGCTTACTCACACTGATTCTTTAAGACTTCTTAAAGAACAAGACATTTAAACATTGTATGAGTACAGCACTCAGTTACACACTCAGTATTTTTCCATCATTAACAAACATATCTTACCCACAGGTCAGTGGTGCATTGCCTTCAGAGTAGAAATGGGGGGAAAAATTGATACAGCTCATGGCTGTATGGCCAGCAAGTGTGTTTTTTTATTATTATGATAATAGCAAATATGCTTTTTTAAATTGGTAGTTGCTGAGGGGGCTGCACAATTAAATTTCATAAATTGTATTGTTAAAAACGACTTCTATTGTACAGTCGTCCGTACATGTTTGTGTTCAGTTCAGTTCAATTAGACTGAAATACTAACAGTTCAGATTGTGAGGTGCACGCAGCCTTTAACAGGGTTTTTACTTTAATCACAGTGTTGGTCAGGCTGTGGGCTTGACTACCATTGTGTAGAAATAAAAAGACTGAGACTAAATAGACTGAGATTTTTTTCTTATATGACAAAACAGTTGCTGATTTAGTTTAATTTTGTGGACTTAATATGCAGTTAAAAAAAGTTCAATCGCAATATAATGTATTGCAATTCTCAGCATATCACAAAATGTTTAAAATCGCAATGATATCGTATTGTGACTCGAGTATCGGAATAATATCTGTGGATTCCCACCCCTACTTCAGAGACACACTGCTCCAGCAACGTCTGTCATTATGTGGTCTGATAATCCATTTATTTATTTTTCAATAAATATATCAATACAATACATTCAGTGTTAGTGTCCCTCACTCTTTCTAGTCAATTACAAACTGTTCCACTGTTCCTCTGTACACCTGATGCCCTTTGTTGTGGTGAATGGATATTCAGCTTTTATCTGTAGCTTTTCTTTTTTTGGTTTGTGTGTTTAACCTTTGTTGATGTATGTATTTGGAGCACATTTGCTGTTAATGCATTCATCTTTTTACAGCTTGTATTTCCATTTGCAGTCTTTCCTTTTTTACATTTTCTTTGTACTTTGCATGAGTAATTTAATTTGCAGTATGTTTCTCCTGCTGGAAATTACTTGGCCTGTTGCAGCACGTTGTCACTTCTCAGCAGTTACATCAACTTTTCACAACAGGTAAAAGTAGAGTAGCAGTGCAATATAGAACATTAAAAAATGTTAGGTTGAATGAAACCATACCTCAAATTTTTGACGGCAAGAACTCAGCAAACTTCTGGGGGAAGTCAGTTAGGGTAAAAGTGTAGGGCTTCTCAAATAGCAATGAAAGGTAAAGCTTGGGGGCACACAAAGTGTGCAGGTTGTAGTTTTTACCATTCCCATTTTTCTCCATCACAAACCAGTGGTTATCAGATATATTTTTTGGGTTTCCATCACAGCAATCAGTTTCCTCTACCTGTGAACACACAAAATAGACTGTTTATCCCTGTTGGGTTCCACACAAGGCAAGAATTAGAAAGAAACAATGACTATATACATTCAATAATTATAAAAATAAGTATCAAAATAAAATAAATAATGTATTTCAGTAACTTTTTCTTTAGTTTCACACCAATGATGAGCCCTTCTAATGCATTTCAACACCTGAATTATACTACATTTTCCCCTTTTTTTATTTTCCTTTAAGCTTTCTACTGCTCTGTACCTGTGTATACCAATAACCTTTTATGTCTATATGTATAAATAGGTTTTTATTTACCTTGAGGCATTCTTCCACCACCTTTGTACAATAAGTTTTCTCTTTACGGCGGAAATGGAAAGCCAGCAGTATTTTCTCTTCTCTCACACTTCTTATTATTTTCACCTCATGTTCTAAGGAAGGAAGCAAAGAAACATATTTACTTTGTGAATGGGTTGATATATTTTGAAAAAGGATAGTAATAGGTGCTGAGCAATTAAAAAACAGCAACAAGATACGCCCTCACGCTTGCTCAATTTCACAAAAAATCTTTATTAAATCACCAGAATTCTTCTTCAGTTGATAATTTTGTTAATAAATGAACACCTGAAGAAGAACTCTGAAACATTGTGATTCCATAAAGTTGTGTGTCATTAGCAAGTGCACTGGCATGTCTTCTTTTACTTGCTTATACGTCAATTCATTTGCCATAATACTTGAAATTCATTCTTAAAATGTACTTTTTAATAAAAATCAAACGGTAGCCAATCAAAGGTGGGTTAAACAAAGCCCTATGTATAGACTTTTTGTAACCTTATATAGAGGGTAGCACATATAGTGCTTTCACACTTGCACAAAAAATTAACAAATTTGGGCGAGCTGAATGTGTCAATGCAAACTGCCAAATTTGTCACTCAGATTTTATTCTGAATTTCTCCTGCCAATCCCCGAGTATTTTTCTGCAGGAAGATGTGAAATCACCTTGAGCTGGTGACGTTAATTCTCTGCGATTGGTGCACGATCATAGGCTGTATTCACTCGACCGTTGTGACCTCCGTGCACATAATTAACCTGCTGTATTACGTTTTCTCTTTGCCAGAATGTTCTTCTCCGCTCTTTTGTTGATACTGATTCTGTCAAACTGCACATTGCATTGATAGAAAGTAAAATATTCTCATTATAGAGTTGCAAAGTGGACTCTGTTGCTTAGTCCGTTCTTTTACGTCATGTCTAGTCTCAGGACTCCACCTCCTATCTGACGTGGATAGTCTCCTGCTGGGAAGTGTTTGTGTGAACTACCAGATCAGACTTGTTTCCTGCTGAAGTTCTCCAGAATTTTTCAGACGTGCAAATGTGAAAACAGCTATATATCAACGGAGTACCAAACCAGCTCCTTTGCATAACCAGATTTGTGAATATTTTTTGCCTCATTCCGAAAAAAGTTGTACCAGCAGTTATTGAATTCGGTTGGTCAATGGCACATATCTTCACTCCATCTGAGAATTTACGGACTGTCACAATTTTCCCGTCCAGATTCATTATGTGATGATGATGCTGTCTCCTCAGTAATGTTCTGTCCTGAGGGAAAAAATTAAAAAAAGTAACACAAAAAATGGTTAATTAGAAACTTCAGAAAATCAAAGAGAAAATATGGAGAGAATCCAAGTCTTACATTTGAAATTAGTTAAGACCGACTGAATGTATTACTCATACACAGCAATCTGTATTTCATCACACTTGGCTTGTAAAGTAATTTAAAAAATCAATTTTTAAGTGTAGATCTGCCTTAAGATGAAATCAGAGATAGTAATAAACCTCTTTTTGTGTCTTGAAAGGGATATCAACTCCCTCAGAATTGTGCAACTTTTAAGTCATGAAAAACGTCAATCAGATTGAGCTTTCATGTGACTTAAAATGATAACAATAATTTTGCCAATCAATCAAATAATAACATTGTGCAGTGTTCAGTAAAGCTGCAAAAAAAACATCCTATTATTCCATATCATGAAAATAAATCTCCTGTAAACACCAGAATGCTATTATACTTGATAAGGCAGTTAGTTATTGAGTGATGTTCAGGAAATGCTATAGCTGCACAGCATAGAACAGAAAGGACTTTCTGCTGTCATAAAAAGTGCACAAAGGATTATTGTAGTTGTGCTGCCAGGCCTGCATGCCAAGAGTGCCTCTGACACCAGCAAGGACACAACACAGCCAGGATATACTGTCTGTTTGTCCCCCTGCCATCTCGAAAAGATGAGCTCCAGAGAGACCAACAGCTTCTTCCCACAGACTTCTATCATCTGTGTTGGGCTCAATGCCTATGTCGGTGCTGACATTTAGTAAAGTCTATTTGTATACTCTTAGGTTTATTTAATACACTTTTACTACTGCCATTTGTACTACTTAAAGTCTAGATCAGTGGTTCTCAAACTATGGTATGGGCTCCCTGTGGTGGTACGCAAAGAAATCTCCACAATATAAAAAAAAAAACCTGTTCAGCATAAAACGACATTTTTTATTTTTTGTCGTACTCTTATCTTATGTGTCTTGTAGGTTATCTATTGGGCTGTATTTATATCAAATGTGTTTTCAACTCTAAATTAATCTAGTTTTTGCAACAAACAACTTTATTCTGCTCAATTTGCTCGCGCGCGCACAGACATAAACAACACCAGGAGTACACCTCGCGTTTTGAAAAGTTCCACTCGATATTCTGTTATAGTTCAGTCCTGAAACAACTGCAGCTGTTGCAAGAAAGCAGCTGTAGGTCTATATTAACAGATATTCTGTTATTTATTGGAGTTCAGCACAATCGGCAGCAAGCAGCTGTACATAACGGAGCCAGGAGAAGCTTCATTTGTTGATGCGTGTACGGACAGTCGCTCACCTTCTCTCTCTCTCTCTTGCTCTGAAGCTGCTATGTTTTATGCCGCTTTATTGTAAGGCTCTGCGCCTTACAATAAAGCGGCGCTGCTTGCGCGGAGCCTGCACTCTCTCGCGCGCAAAATGCATGTAAAGGCCTGTGCAGATGAGATACATAAAAAAGTTGAAGATAAAAAAGTAGCCTAATGACATCGATACAAATTATAGTGTTTAACAGTTTCCTCATTGAGATACTGCTGCACATTAAATGTTATTACACATTAGATACTGGTGCACATGTTAACATGCTTTTAAATAGACTACCAACGTAGACAGATTAGAAAAAAGAAAACACGAAGCCGCACATTCGCTCAAAGCTCTACGGTTCCTTTAACAACTGACCCGCCAGAATTCAGGATCCCAGCTACTCCTGCAGACTAAAATGATCACACACTTGCAGGCGAAAAGTGTTAAAAAGATGCAGGTTCTACACAATGCTAAAGCTTAGATTTGACAGGAAAAAAAGAGGAAACCAGAGCTTTCATGTACATGTTTGAAATAATGCACAACTCACTTACAGGACTGAAGTTGCCTACCGCGAGGCTGTGAGGTTCTGTCTGTGTGACGAGTCCTGGCGAAAAGCAGTGTTGTTTCTCAGCCTCAGTGACGGGAAACTATTTAAATACGGACCAGCAGGTTTGACGTAGGCGTCTAGGAATGCAACCAATGCTGGCCAAGGCAAAGATGAAATCTAGTAAAAAAAATTCAAGCAGCTGAATCTGGTTATACTGGACTTTGCTGGACAAACACACAAGGGGGTAATATTTTCAGTCTATGTGTTGGAGCAAAGAAATGAACTGGACCCCAATTAATCCCCACCTCTCGCCCCCTCCCTCTAACAATAGCATCAGAATCAGAATCGGGTTTTATTGCCAAGTACAACATAACAAGGAATTTGACTTGGTGTATTGGTGCTAAACAATTAGCAAGGAAATAAAACAGAACTAGCAACAACTTAAATAATATAGTATAAGAAGCAATTAAAATATATAAAATGTAAGATATAGAAAAATTAAAATTAAAAAACACAAAGTGTACAAAATGTGCAATGTAGGAGCTGTGTAGTGGACTATGAGGAAAAAAATATAATGAATTGCTAAAACCCTGACTATTTCTTCTGGAAATTGTGGTAACTACAGACTACTTATCTGGTTGTTCAGTAAGGTACATTTTGATTGAAAAGCTAATGTTAAGTTTTCTCTGTCAAACCAGCTATGTTTTTGTGAATAAGTGAGCATGTGAGTTTTTTTCATGCATACAGCAGTCATTAGGGACAGGAAGTGTGATAGAGGATTTTTTTTCTTCACAGAAAGCAAATCACAAAGGAATGCAAACCATCTCAGCCTTTTGAAAGGTAGGAAAGGACTTCAGCCCTTCTGAAGTCCAAAATAAGACTGTTTTTGACAGTTTTTCAGGGTTGTGCCTCTATGATGAGCAACTCACAGCTGCATGTGTCACACATGGTAACAGCACGCACACAGCACAACAAATAAGTGAAACATTTTCTTAAAACCCTCAGCCATCAGTTTAATTTACTTACCTCTTCACAAAAATGTCCACTTCCTTTTTTTTTGCATACATCACTTAAGCCCTGCTCAAAACTACAAAACATTCAATCATTTTGGGGAATTTAACCCTTTAAATGCCAGTTTGATTACATGATTCTGGCATTTAAAGGTTTAAATTTAAATTCCTAAACACAGAAAAAAGTAGAAAAAATATCAATCTGTTCTATTTTTAAAGCAGTTTTTTGGAAGTGGACCTTTTTGTCCTTAGTGACTTAAGAGGGTAGTAAAAATGTTTCACAGTGTTCTATTGATCTATTAAAAAAAAAATATATGCATTCCTCTCTTTTGTCAGGGTGCGCTGGCAAATCTCTAAAGACTCTTCAACTGGTCCAGAACGCTGCAGAACCAGGAAATGGGACCACATCACTCCTGTCCTGGCTTCTCTGCACTGGCTCCCTATACAGTCGAGAATAGAATTCAAGATCCTTCTTCTCACCTACAAAGCTCTAAATGGCCAGGCACCATCTTATCTTAAGGAGCTACTAGTGCCGTACTGTCCCTCGAGAGCGTTGCGGTCCCGGAGTGCAGGCCTGCTAGTGGTACCTACAGTCTCTAAGTGTACTATGGGAGGTAAAGCCTTCAGTTATCGGGCTCCTCTCCTCTGGAATCATCTTCCAGCCGGGGTCCGGGAGGCAGACACAGTCTGTATTTTTAAGAATAGACTTAAAACTTTCCTTTTTGATAAATCTTATAGTTAGTGCTCTTAGTTATGCTGCTATAGGCTTAGACTACCGGGGAAACTGGCACCTTGAGCTCCTCTCTCTCTCTCTCTCTCTCTCTCTCTCTCTCTCTCTCTCTCTCTCTCTGTGTATATACAGTACATCATATTACTGCATGTATCTACCTGTAAATCTCAGTCACTAACCACCTACTTTCCTGGGAGCTCTTGAGCTCTCTTAGGCTCCTCAAGATCGTTGGTTGACGGCCTGCCAGAACATAGGCAGGCATGCCTATGTTTGTAATATAGCAATAAGTAAGGTCTTTTACCTGCTTTTTGTAACATAACAATGAGTAAGGTCTTTTTACCTGCTTTTTGTAATGTTAACAGACAAAGAGTAAGGTATTTTACCTGCTTTTTGTAAAGTGTCTTGAGATAACACTTGTTATGAGTTGACGCTATACAAAATAAATTGAATTGAATTGAATTCCAAAATGTGTCAAGAGAGAGACTTTCTTAAAAAAAGGTGTGCCATATGCACTAACACAGCCAAAATGATGACCAGATAAAGAGGAAACATTTGCCCCAACTGACAAAAATTTCCATAATGATACATGAGGGAAAATAACTGAATTTGCTGAAGCTTCTAACAAAACCTAAATTTCTGGGTGGACTTTATTGAACAGCACATGGCATTTAAATTCTACATTAAGTTAGGTTGAGATGTGTAGTAAAAATAAAATAAAATTGTAGAGTTGTTGCTGGATTTAGTCAATGTCATGTGAAAAAGAGAAACACAGTTAAAAGAAAAACAAAGAAATTAAGTGCCTTGTGACCATAGACTCTTTCTGTATCAAATACAATGGAGTGGATAGTCAGGTACACTCATATTTAAAGTCTGATGGCTCTTAACAGAAACATCTAGAGATAGAAATAAGTAATATGTATATTGTTTTTTTTCATTAATAATGAACAGTTTAATTTCGATCTCCTAATGAAGCTGCATCTTTTCAAGACAACTTATTTTGTAATTTAGTACAGAAAAATCATTGCTTGGTCAATCTCATGTACCTAATGGAAAGCATACAACATCATTTTTAATCTTTGGGCAGCAGTCAATATTTCTGTAGTAACCAGCAGATATCCCATGTACTGTAGCCAATGCATCCTCCTCCTCAATCGAAAGACTCAAGGCAGACATTATTTTTTTATGTTAGCATTTGGTCCAGTTAAAGTTTATACAAATTATTGGTTATGATATTTGTATATGATCAACAGGGTACCCCGTGCACAGCCTAAACACGCTCCCAGGTGCTCAAGGTTGCAGGATCAAACCATGAATAAAAGAAGGAAGACTTTATTGACTACTAATAAAGTCAAGGACATTAGGAACAAATTAGCAACAAATCATCCCCCCAGACCGTATTTTAGACACCAGCAGGGCACTTCACAGTTATTTTAGCAATTTTGAGCCGGTGTCCTTGACCTTTTTATCTGAAATTTTAACCCACATGAAATCAGCTACGTGCAGCATTGATTTTATTCCCACAACGTTTCTCAAAGAGGTTTTTAACACAGTTGGACCCAGTATTTTATCCATTATTCATTTCATTTTTTCATTTTACCTTTATTTATTCTCAAGAAATCATTGAGGGCAAGCCCTCATTTACAATGACGTCAAGAGTACAATTAAAACGAATAAGAGACAAAAAAGACAAAAAAGACAAAAAACAACGAAGACAGAATACATAGATTATAAGACCAGAAGAATAAGCAGTAAGCAGGTAACTACAGTTAATAAAATTTACACTCATGAGTACAGTGAGCTGTGATCAAGTTTTTAAATTGACCCATGGTAACCATTGTATTGAGTTTTAATGTGTTTTGTATTGTGTTCCAGGTGTGTGCAGCACAAGAGGTGAAGGATGTTTTCCCAAAGTTCGTTTTTACATGTGGAACCGTTAACATTAGCCAGTCACTTGATCGAGTCTGATACTGATTATCAACCCAGATTAATAAAGAAGTGATGTATGCTGGTAGATTACCCGCAAGTGATTTATAAATAAATAGCAGCCAATGCCATTCACATCTAACTGTTAGTGAAGGCCAACCAACTTTAATGATGAGTGGAATATTTGTCACCAGTGATAAATCTGAGGGCGGAGTGATAAACTGTGTCTAATGATTTTAGGGTGGAGGCAGAAGCATGTCTATAAATGACATCCCCGTAGTCCAGAAAATATGGGAAGATGGCTTCAATTATTCGCTTTCTACTCACTAAGGGGAAGTTCACTTTGTTTCTGTACAAGTATCCAATTTTCTGTCGTAGTTTAGTGGATAATGTATCAATGTGAAATTTAAATGAAAGGGATTGATCCAACCAGATGCCAAGATATTTATAATGGGCTACTCTTTCAATATTGTGACCTTCCAGAGTTGTTATATGCAAGTCATTGTCTGTGGTATTTCTGGCTCGTGTAAAGAGCATGTATTTAGTTTTGTCTGCATTCAGTAATCATTTTAAATCAAGGAGTGCATTTTGTAATTTGTGAAGTGCTTCTTGTAAAGTTTCCATTGCTAAATGTGCAGTCTCAGCAAAACAATACAAAACTGTGTCGTCAGCGTAGAGATGGGCCTTAGAATTTGTAAATACAGAAGCAATATTATTAATATAGGTCGTGAACAGCACAGGACCCAATACAGAACCTTGTGGAACCCCTTTTGATAGTGGTAAGTATTCAGAGCGATCAGATTGTACAGTCACACATTGCAATCTATTAGACAGATAATTCTGGAACCATTTAAATGAGGAGTTGTCAAAACCAACATCATGTAGCCTCTGCAGGAGTATGGTGTGATCAACAGTGTCAAACGCTTTAGTTAAATCAACAAAGAGGGCAGCACAGTATTTCCCTTGATCGACAGCAGATACAATATTATTTATGACAAAGGTAATTGCTGATGTGGTGCTGTGTTTTTTTCTGAAACCAGACTGGTGAGGACTTAATACAGAATATGATTTTAGCTGATTGTTGACTAATGTCTCCAGGATTTTAGAGAGGCTGGACAGTTTGGAGATCGGCCAGTAGTTGTTGAGTTTGTTTTTGTCGCCGCCCTTATGCAGAGGGATGACGTGTGCTGACTTCCAAACCTGAGGGACAACTCCAGTGGTGATTGAAAGATTAAAAATATAGGAAATTTGTTCCTTGATTAGAAGGGCACAGAGTTTTAAAAGGTACAGCTCTAGATTATCTTCTCCCCTTGCTTTCCTAATATCTATAGAGTGCAGAGCCTCCATTACAGCAGATGAAGTGAAGGCCTGTATAGTAAATTTAGGGGAATGGTTGTGGGAAGTAGGAATATGAGCCAGCGGCTGGATATTAAAAGTGTTTCCAGAGTACAATGTTTCAAACTGACTCTCAGAAGCAGCAAAATGGAGGTTAAAAGCACGGCAAATATCTGAAGTTTTATTTGTTTGGCCTTCATTTAAAATAACATAAGAAGGGAGAGATGGGGAGGATTTATTTTTGTTTATATTCCCTGCCAAAATTTTGATGGGTTTGAAGAGCAACTAGAAATCAACTCCTGGTGATAAGAGGTTTTAGCTTTTCTCAGTGATTATGTGCATTTATTTCTGAGTTGTCTGAATAAAAGCCAATGGGCTGCTGTGCCTGTCTTTCTTGCTAATGCCCAGGCTTTGTCCCTTTCCTTTAAGAGTAATGATAATTCAGTGGAGAACCATGGGCTTGATCTATCTTTAACCCTTAACTTTTTAAAAGGTGCATGCTTGTCAATAATTTTAAGAAATGTATTTGTAAAATATTCAAGTGCATGATCCACATCAGGTATTTCAGATGTTTGACATATATTACTGTTCACAATGTCATTAAAAAACACTTGTTCATTAAGATTTCTGAAATTTCTCTTGAGTACAATCCTGGGCTTAGATTTTGCTAGTCTAGTACTCCTTATACATGCCAGAGGACAATGGTCACTGATGTCTAGGGAGAAGAGCCCGAGGCTGTAATTTTGTCCCTTCTATTGGTAAAAATTAGATCAATCAATGTTGATTTTGAAGGACCTTTCAAATTAGGTCTAATTGGTTCAGTTCATTACTAATAGTTCTTTGCGGAAGGTGTAGTCCCCTCTGCTTTTAAACATGCTGTGGTCCAACCACTTTTAAAGAAACCCAACCTTTATCCCACTGATTTTAACAATTTTAGACCAATCTCAAAATTTCAATTTTTATCAAAAGTTTTAGAAAAGGTGGTTTCAACACAACTGTGGAATCTTATATTCTTTATACTTTTATGTTTGCTCATTAACTGATCCAATGCATTACACATAGCATTACACATATCACGTATACATGCACCGTGTCCTTATATGACCACTGCAACACACGAACCTTGCACGATACTCACCTCACCACAGGTGTTTTATTTCACGTACACAGACTCAACAACAGCTCCTTATAAGGACTATTTTTTAAACTCTCAAGGACAAGTTACTGCTACATTCACATATTTATACACTGACCACAAGGTGCTGACACAGATAAAGCTGCACCTGTTTCTTTGATCCTCCTCTGTAAGTTTCGATCACACTATATGCTCAAGTATATAAAGATTGTATGCCCCAAGAGCGGGCAGAGAACTTACTTTGTGTATCCTGTACGCATAGCTGAACTTCTCTCCATGCTGCATGTAATAAACTGGGTGACTTAGCAACTCAACAGTTTCTGAAAGTCTCTTTTATTTACTCTCGTCCCAAGGTTCGGAGGGTTTTCTCTTTCTGCTGATTTTCTGCAGGCCCAGTTCTACCACACAACTTTTATCTTTTATGACTGAAAATAACTTCTTTGAGAAATTCTAATCCGGTTTTAGAGCTTGTCACAGCACAGCACAGCACCCTCCTCAAGGTAACCAATGACCTTCTTTTAGCAGCAGATAGAGGGGAGGGCCCAATTTGAATTCCTTTAGATCTTAGCTGTCACTGTCTCGCCTCAAGCTAGTCCAAAATGCAGCAGCTAGGCTTCTTACTGGTTGTAACAGACAACATCACATCACTCCAATTTTAGCTTCATTACATTGGCTTCCTGTAAGTTTTAGAATTGATTTTAAGCTTTTACTCATTACTTTTAAAGCACGGAAGGGGCTGGCTCCAAGCTATATAACAGAGCTACTGACACCAAATGAGCCAGCCCGCAGTCTTAAATCCTCAGGTGGGGGCCTCCTGGTCGTTCCAAAGTCGAGACTTAAAACTAAAGGTGACCTTTTCCGTCAGGGCCCCTCAACTTCGGAACAACCTCCCTGAGGAGATAAGACTTGCAGATTCCCTCAATTCTTTTAAATCCCTTCTTAAAATGTACTTTTCCAGACTTGCTTTTATGTGATGTCGTCTTCTTAATGTCTTTCTTACTGGTTTTACTATTTTTATCTTCTTTTACTTCTTACTGTCCTTTTATTTACTTTGTCTATTTATGTTTTATATGTATATATTCTTTTTATTATTATTATTATTGTTTTTTGATAATTTCTTCACTTGTTTCTATTTCTTTTACTGCTCTAACCTTCTTATTGCTTTTAGTTTCATACATATTTTTAAATCTTTGGTCCTCTTGGTCTCAGCTCGTGTTGTTGGGTTCTTGTTTTTCCTGGGTTCTTATGATGGTTCTTGTGATGGTCGAGTTATATATATGTCTGTTGGGTATCTTGCAATATGGGTTCTTTTCTGTTGAATTGTATTTAATTATTTTTAGTATTTTGCATTTGTTATGTTCTTGCTGTTTATGTTCTTCTGTGTTTGGTTTAGTTTGCTTTGTTCTTGTTTTTGCCTTTGCTGTTTGTCGAAGCACTTTGTAAACCTGTGTTTTTAAAGGTGCTATATAAATAAAGTTATTATTATTATTATTATTATTATTATTGTGCTGGGCATACCTGAGAAAGCTACAGGTGAAACGCATTGTTCGCGCACGATAAAGATATAGTGAAGTTATTTTCAGTGTGCCACGGACTTCTGATTTTTTATTCATATTTGTATATGAATTTAACAATTCTTTTTAAAAAAAGAGCAACATTTTGGAGTAGGTATAAGGACCAAAAAAGTAAGATGTAAGATGTATTACTAGATGTAAAAACAAAGACATTTATTTTACATTAGTATATACAACACATTGTTTATAGAAACATAATATTAGCATCTGACCAGAGACATATGATGAATCTGAAAGAAGCCTCAACTGCTAACTGGAGATAAATTAAGCTCCTGAAGCTAAACACCTTCATCGCAGACTAGTTGGACGACCACCTTGTCTTTGAGCGCTTCGTTCTGCCTGTAGACATACATGGGAGACGGGCTGGTTTCCCCACTCTTCTGCTCTTCACTTCTCTCATTATCCTCCTCGTAGATCAGGTCGTTGTAGGAGGCAACACATAGATCATGGTCTTGGAGGGACGCGGGGTAATGAAGAGAGGCTCTCTCAATTCGCACAGAGCGTCTAACAGGGGTAAAGAAGCGAACCTCCTGGCCATTGACTCGTGTCGGTTCTCTCTTTTGGCTTGGAGGGCCGCTGAGGGAAAATGAAGAGAATACAAAACAAAACTCAGTTTTAAACATTTTTCATTCTTAACAACACCTCGATCAGGGAAAAACAAAAAAAGGTCCACTTAAAAAAGGACCAACCTGACATTACATAGTCAGTCCAGGTATTCTGAATAATTTAATGTGTGCAGTCAGACAACCCTTTCCCTGTGATTTTTATTTTTTTTATATAAATGTATTAATTATTCATTTCATTTTTTATTATATGTATTTACTTATTATAGCATACATGCAGGAAACTATTCAAACCATAGACTGTAAAAATAATAAACCAGCTGTTTAGGACTTATGTAATAGACATCAAAAGTAAAGAAATGAAAAGAGTGATTGTGACGGCAAAAATGAAACAACTTTCAAAGATTATTTCTGAACTGAGTGCACAGAGGATTCACTTCTGCATAGGCAAAACATCCATTTCAAAAAAGTAGTTGAATTTTCTGCGTCTACCGTCGGGCAGGGCATGACTTAAAAAAAAAAGAAGAACGGCAGGGAAGCAGTGGACGAAGCAACAGAGTCTGCAATGCGACGTTATAATGAAAATATTTTCCTTTCCATCAATGCTACGATTAGTTTGACGGAATCACAATATCAACAAAAGAGCGGAGAAGAAACTCACTCAGAGTTAATGCGGTAAAAATTCTAGGGGGCTGGCAGGAGAAGCTCTGGGTGAAGCCGATTGAAAAGCCGAATTTGGCCGTTTGCCTCCACACATACAGCTCCTCCTGCAAATATCAGGAGTTTTCTACAAGTGTGAAAACACAATATTTACTTCATCAACTGTAATGAAACAGGGCGGACTGATTGTCTTAAATATAGAGTTGGAAGTTGAGCAGCTTTAAGATGGATGTGGTTTGGACAGAACTGTCAATCACAGGGCTGACATATACTTTGGACTGTGGGATGAAGCCGGAGTACCCGGAGAGAACCCACGGGGAGTACATGCAAACTCAACACAGAAAGGTTTCAAAACCAGGAACCATTTTGCTGTGAGGTGACTGCAGCCCAGTCCCTCTGAAATGATCTAGACATTTTCAGGAGTGCATATGTGATAACCGACCCAGGGGGTGTCAGCATCCCTCGGGGGTCTTGGACAGGAGAGAGAGAGACAGCGAGCTGGAGCGCAGGTAATCCAGACATAGTCGCCCAATCCATTCAGTCTGTCCTGTACTCAACAGTGCAAATATTTTCCCTTCGACATTATAAAGCTGACATCATTCGATATTTATGAGGGTTTTTTAATCACATTATAAGAGACAGACCTGGGGAAGTTTTAATATTAGGTTTGTATTTATAGTGATTGTGTGTTATCATCTAACATGTTTTAGTTTACAAAGAACTTAATTTGCTCATTTTAAATCCGTTCCCTTTCTATTCTCTTATCCACACAAAACATAGCTGCTCCTCTCCTCTCCCCCCCCTACACACAGCTGCCCGTTTCTACTTGACTTATTCTTTAGCTTTGTTAGTTGTGTGATTTTGACAATATTCCCTAACAGTATGTTACAGACGCTCAAGTACATTACACACATGTTTTTTTAAATCTTTCTCTCGATACTCTGTTATCACATCAGGGGATCCGCACGTATGCCGCACATCATAGCGACCACTGCAGCAAAATATTAAAACATTGGCAAAAGAAGCTAAAGTTTTCAAAGAAGACGTAAAGGAGGGGCTTATGTCAGCTGACATATTTTCTCTCTCTGGCATGTGTCTTTCTCTATCACGTTTGTGCAGTGATTTCAATATTAAATGAAAAAAGGTTGGGAAATATTCTTGGGCGGCCATAAATATAGCTGGTGTGTAACTATAACAATCTGCTACAGTATTGACTTCAGAATCACTCAGATTATTTTTATCTCCAGACCATTTTAGCAGCTTTTAGCTAGCATAACAAACAGTTGTCATAATGACTCAAACATACCCAGGAGTCGCTGTGATCTTGTACTTGACGACAGATGAGTCTCCTTTCTCCCCACAGATGAGGGCTCTGACAGGTTTAGGAGTCATCATTGGGTTGTTGTCCCTCTCAGGAGAGCTTTCAACCGAAGAAACCTGTACCTCTTTCTCATCTTCTTCAGATGCTAACGAAAACATGAAAATCAGAGTTAACGTTATTTCAATTCCATGGATAAAAAAATCATTTCATTGTTGGATTCATGCACTCGTTTAAGGGAGCTGTTGCTTTGCAGCCAGCGTATTATCATCTCTTTTAGTGGTTTGAGTATATCAAATAGGAAACAGTGGCTTATTTACATATCTAGCTGATTACTTTAACTAGAATTAACTGATATATAAATGTAGCGCAATTTGTGGCCGGTGCAGGTTCTTGATAATCAGTATAACAAAAGGAATAACTGCAAGTTATATACCATAATACGTGAATGTTAAATATAGATTGTAATCTCTGCAATGTTAGCAACGCAACACAGTTAGTCACTGCTGAGAAATGTTAATGATTCGTTAATGATTCTACAAAAAAGGGAAATGCAGGCCAACTACCTTTGGTCTCCTCCTTTTTCTTCAGAATCTCAAACACCACAGTTCGAAGTTCGTCAACTGGCTAAAAAGAAAAGAAGGGCAGAAACATAAGAATATACTGTGATTTTTGAGGGGAATTTCATTCACGGTACAACACTTATTCTGATAACATGCTAGAACAATGTCACTTGAGATTAGTTAAGAACTCCCCATCTCCAAAATGACATACACCATGCTAAGAATCTCAGATGAGCTTGTTATCTGAGCTGACACATAATCAACTTTCACAAATATCTAATGTATGATTCTCTACTAATGTTTCCAGGTGTAAGTGCCTTGTTTACCTGTGAGCTGGGTCTTTGATCAATGAATAGCAAAAGGTTTTCTCTTCTCAACCTGCTCATTAACTACAGAGGGGTTAATTTCATTGTTGTTGTTTTTTTTTGTTAAAAACCAAACATGTCTATATCAAAAGTCTACATGAGTCTATGACCAGCTGATTCAGAAAATGATCATAAGAAACTTTTAAATGTAGCCGATAGAAACAACCAAAACAATCTCTTTAAATGATGTAACAATTTCCTTCAGTCACTTGAGATTGGCACTGGATTGATCCAACCTTTTACATTAATTGTGTGATGTCTTATCAAAATATTTACAAGGGCTGAATGATATTGGAAAAAGCTGTCATTGCCATATTGTTTGAGGGTCCAGCACTCTGACAGAGACTAACACACAGGGAGAAAGAGCACCAGTGGGGTGACGTTTCCTCCTAAACTTTAAAAATAAAATAAACTTGTGGCCTGCAATTGTGGTACACCAAAGTCATCAACCATTTTTAACAATATTCAAAGTTATGTTTAGGTTACATACATCCAATTAAACAAAAAAACTCACTGCCTTGAGCTGCCTGTGACTCACTAAACATTTAAGATGAATTGGCTGATATATCAGCTCAGATTATTAGTAGAGAAATATCCTTAATGTCTAATCCTACAGAATACATTCCATTTTCCGTGAAGAGCAAATGAAAATCGTAATGAAATAACCCATCTCATGTTTATTCTTGGAGACTCAAAGTGAATTAGACAGGCAATGAACGAAAGTGTTTCATTGCACTGTTGGGAAATTTAAATGCATATGTGACTGAAATGGGGTCTGGACTTTGTAGTCCTTAAAGATACACATAGGATAATAATACGGAATAATAATACTCCGCTATTATTGGAAGTACGCAAAACTACTGACAGTTATGCAAAATACATCTTTCGATTTCTTACCTCTAGCACAACACGCACAGCTTCTTCAAATATTGGCAGGACATCAAGGTTGCCCTCCTGCTCCATCAGACGGGCCTGACAGATCCAGTACTTGGCGAACTTGTGGGACACCACCGGCAGCCTCGAGAGAACCTCCTTCACCTGGACTGAAGGGCAACCCTGTTGGTGCAAAGAAGGCGAAAAATATAGTCTACTTTGTTGAAAGTTGAAAGGAAAGCATCGATCTACTTCAACAAAAATGCTTTTGGTAAAATAAAAGTGCATCTTAAAAGCCCTCCTGCCACATCCACCTGACAATTGTCCAGTAATCGTATCATATATTCGTAAAAATTAACTATCCTAAAATTCAAACCATCTCCCACAATGATTGGCACTGTGTGCTGGAAAAACAAAGCAGCAGGTATTTCTGTCCCTTTTCATGTGAACAAATAGATGAATACCTATCAGGACGGAATGTGAATTTGCGCTTTCATGTCTATAAAAACTGCAAATCAACAAGCCTTGTGCATGATTTCAAGTCTGGCCATTTGGAAAACAGACTTTTCTCTCTCAATCTTGTCTGATGAACTATTACCTCCACCCCTCCTACAATTCATCCCATCTCTAGCAAAACAAAATGTCCAAAAAAAATAAAAATAATTCTCATTGCCCTTCCCCTTCCGAATACCTCGCCCAGTAATATGATGCAATCAGCTAGGGATCTGTCCACAGCTGAGATGAGGGAGTGGGCATCGTCTTCCTCTTTCATGGTGGCCCAGAAAGGTTGTGGCACAGCCATAGTGCGCCTGACCTGAATTCTCACTGGCATTGGAGGACGCTTATAGGAAATGCCCCTGGATTCTCTCCATTCTTGTAGTTTTTTCCTTGAGATCAAATAACAGAGAAGAGGGAGCAAGTTAAGGTCAACATTTAAATGAATGGAATTTAGTGTTGGTGTTTTTTCCCTGAAACTCATAATTCAGCATCGGCAAGTATGCCAGTCAATGCAATAGACTGATACGACGATATATTAGCTGCAGGGAAAAAAATAATAATCAACTGGCATAATGTTAGCTGAAAGTGAAATGCAAGCAATCAGTATATCCACTATTTTTCCCCTTTTTTATTGCACCGGAAGAGTCTCTTTTAGGGCTGGGAATCTTTGTGTGTCTCACGATTCGATTCTTAGCAAGGAGTGACTGATCTAGCCAAAGTGAATCTCCTCCTCAACTCATTAAGGACTAGACTGCTTGACATTCTTGTTGAATGATGAGGCCATCAGTTGAAACATAAATGGGTGTGGGTGAAACTAGTCTCAGTACACCTACACAGATTCATATCACTGTTAACTAGAATAATGCAAAAACAGCTAACTGTACACGCACCCTACAATTATGTTGTCAAGAATATTTTTTTAATTGCATTGACTATAGCATTTTAAATTCAAGACTGAACACTGTGCTATACCCTCTCACGCTTCCAAAATTCTATAACATATTGTGAATCCACCGACTGAATAGGACACCAATATTACACCGTTGCAGAATCAATATGAATGCTTTAAGGAGTAATAACAGTGCTGATGCAAAATTGCACTGTAAAAAGGGCTTATGTTGGTCACATACAGAAAGACGAGGTACTGCACGTCTGCAGCAAGCAGGTGCCAAGAACACAAGCCAACATAACCTTCAGTCAGTTGCAGTAGCTACTAAGTTTAGTTGCTTAGTTTAATGGTTCAATGGTGTCATATCATACTTTTCTACTAATACATTTGTAAGGACTTGTACTTTTCCACTTACATTCTTTCCTCCTGGACAGCAGTCAGTTTCTTTCTCTCCGTCTGTGGAATATCGATCACTGGAAACTTTGATGACTTCCTGGCCTGGCCTGTGAGGCTGATGGTCCTGACAGGCTGTGGCGCTGTCTGAGATATAACTCGAGGGCCAGTTCCTTTGATACCCGTTTGCATTTTAGGGGCATTATCTGAACTGTGTCCCTTCTTGCCACCTGTCTCTGCACATGTCTTGCTTCTCTTTTCCACCTCAGTCAGAACAGCTCGCATATCCCCACTCACAGGTCTGGAGCTGCATCTGCTTGCTGGCCCAGATGATGTTCTTGAGACAACTTTGCATGGTTGTTCATTCTTCTTACGCTCTCCATCAGATTTCTGCTTTGAAGACGTGTCCGTAGGCTGACTGGTTAATTTATTAGGTTTTAGCATCCCTACTCTCCCGTCTGGCTTATTTGGGCCTGCTGTGCAATTGGAGCAGATGGACTTTGTTTTCAGTCCACTTGGATTACAATGTTTACCAAAAAGGGACTTAGAGTTAGCCCTATTCTGTTCTTGAAGTTTTATTCCAGTACTGGAACTTGCAGTTGTAGAAAGACTTCTCTCTTTCACAGGATTGCTTAGAGATGCGTTAGGCAATGTTTTTTTCTGGAAAATGAACTTGGACGACAATGTGCTTGATTGCACCATGTTGGCAACAGAAGTAGTTCTGGCAGCAGATATTGAGGCAGTGGGATGTCTCAAACTTTGACTGTTCCTTGGCTGGGTCACTGCAGGGAGGAGTCCTGTTTTAGTTTTGACAATTGGGCCAAGACTCATCCTGACACTGGCTGTCTTCACTGGACGTAACAAAGCAGCATTCAACTCACTGTTGAATTTGCTGTTCTTATTTTTTGCAGATGTGCGAGCTATATTAGAAGAGGTTTTATCTGAAGATTGTATTTCTTTGTTAGGCTTCTTTTTGAAATGGCTGGCTGAATTTGTGTTGGATTCGGAGGACAAAACAGTGTATGTTCCTTTGAGTAAAGAGTTTTGTGTAGGTTTTCTGGGCTGTACTGGGACACTTGTTGCAGATGAACGACAGGCATTTCCCTGTCCTGTCAGCATACTTCCTTTTACATTCACTTTGTTTGTAACACCAAATGTTCTTCTGGTGGGTCTTTTTGTGGCTTGCACAGTCATAGTTTGGATTTTTGTGTGTTCATTTATTAATTTGACAGCTGGAGCCGTGTTCTCTTTCTCCTTAACCATCTGTGAAAACAAATACACAATATGTTAAGACAGTAACCTTGCACTGCCCAGGTTCCACACTTCTAAATCATATTCAAAGTTAGCTAGGGTCTGTTGTCATCTAATATGTTTTGTGACATAAAGTTGAAAAACTGAGTCCTGAAATAACCACAATCCACTAAATGTGATGGAAATGGGTAAAGAAGGTAATAGAAATGGGGGGCAGTGTTGCTAAAGACGGAGAGATGCATGGTAGCTTGATTCCAATCTGCTGGCTGCTCTGATGTTCTGTGCTCTAGTAATGAGTCAGTGAGGTAGGTTAAACCACTTTGGAAGAGGGTGGTAGTAACAAACTGCTGTGCTCCTGTCTGAGACGATGGCAACAGTGACATTTTATAATGGAATAAGAAAAACAAATGACTAGAAAAAACAGCTGCGAATAAATCCTCAATATGCCCAACCCTAATGACACTGCGTCTGATTATTAGAATTTGAGTTTCAGTTACATACCCAGAAACACTGATCTTATTGTTATAAATATTGCTGTCATTTTTTACACGCTCTATTTCATGTGTAAAAAACAGTCCACACCTACCTGAGTTGCAAATGTCTTGTCTTGATAGACATCCCGGAGGTATGGCCTGAGAAGTTGAGATGAGAGATGATAATGGAATTTGTTTACCAAACCAATAATTAAAAACCCCATTGCACATCAATTTGCAATGATTTATGTTCATACTTAGGGTTGGGCTGTTTCAGCTTTCCCTTTGCTTCCAAGAATTCCATCAACTTCTGCTTACGCAGCTCTGTAGTGGAAAATAACACAAGAGTTCAACACAGTCCCATGAGTGACTTTCTGATACACAAAACTGTAAACTGATATCACAGACTCAAAATTTGTATCTGTCCTGAATTAAATCAGGTTTTAGAGCTTTATTTGTCAGTCATTTTATGTACCTCTTTAAAACTCAGCTAAAATAGATTGGGTGCAATACAGAACTTTCTTTTAACTTTGTCCAAAATAACTTTTAGGCATAACTGAGCCCCATTTCCAACAATAAACTTGTACTTACACCTTGTAAAAATATCAGAGATAAGTCACTGAACGGGACAAGGAGGTTGTGGGAATCATTTTCGTTTGCACTACAAGTAACATGAATAGTATTGTTATAGCTGTATTGTTATATTGTTATAGCTGTATTGATATATTGATATAGCTGTATTGTTATAGCTGTATTGTTATAGCTGTATTGTTATATTGTTATAGCTGTATTGTTATAGCTGTATTGATATATTGATATAGCTGTATTGTTATAGCTGTATTGTTATATTGTTATAGCTGTATTGTTATATTGTTATAGCTGTATTGATATATTGATATAGCTGTATTGTTATAGCTGTATTGTTATAGTGTTATAGCTGAATTGTTATAGCTGTATTGTTATAGTGTTATAGCTGTATTGTTATAGCTTTATTGTTATAGCTGTATTGTTATGTTGTTATAGCTTTATTGTTATAACTGTATTGTTATATTGTTATAGCTTTATTGTTATAACTGTATTGTTATATTGTTATAGCTTTATTGTTATAGCTGTATTGTTATATTGTTATAGCTTTATTGGTATAACTGTATTGTTATGTTGTTATAGCTGTATTGTTATATTGTTATAGCTTTATTGTTATAACTGTATTGTTATGTTGTTATAGCTGTATTGTTATAACTGTATTGTTATGTTGTTATAGCTGTATTGTTATAACTGTATTGTTATGTTGTTATAGCTGTATTGTTATAGCTGTATTGTTATGTTGTTATAGCTTTATTGTTATAGCTGTATTGTTATATTGTTATAGCTGTATTGTTATGTTGTTATAGCTTTATTGTTATAGCTGTATTGTTATGTTGTTATAGCTGTATTGTTATGTTGTTATAGCTGTATTGTTATAGCTGTATTGTTATGTTGTTATAGCTGTATTGTTATATTGTTATAGCTGTATTGTTATGTTGTTATAGCTGTATTGTTATGTTGTTATAGCTGTATTGTTATAGCTGTATTGTTATGTTGTTATAGCTGTATTGTTATATTGTTATAGCTGTATTGTTATGTTGTTATAGCTGTATTGTTATGTTGTTATAGCTGTATTGTTATAGCTGTATTGTTATGTTGTTATAGCTTTATTGTTATAGCTGTATTGTTATGTTGTTATAGCTGTATTGTTATGTTGTTATAGCTTTATTGTTATGTTGTTATAGCTGTATTGTTATATTGTTATAGCTGTATTGTTATGTTGTTATAGCTGTATTGTTATATTGTTATAGTTGTATTGTTATATTGTTATAGCTGTATTGTTATGTTGTTATAGCTGTATTGTTATATTGTTATAGTTGTATTGTTATGTTGTTATAGTTGTATTGTTATGTTGTTATAGCTGTACTGTTATATTGTTATAGTTGTATTGTTATATTGTTATAGCTGTATTGTTATATTGTTATAGTTGTATTGTTATGTTGTTATAGTTGTATTGTTATGTTGTTATAGCTGTACTGTTATATTGTTATAGCTGTATTGTTATGTTGTTATAGTTGTATTGTTATATTGTTATAGCTGTATTGTTATGTTGTTATAGTTGTATTGTTATAGCTGTATTGTTATGTTGTTATAGCTGTACTGTTATATTGTTATAGCTGTATTGTTATGTTGTTATAGCTGTATTGTTATATTGTTATAGCTGTATTGTTATGTTGTTATAGTTGTATTGTTATGTTGTTATAGCTGTATTGTTATATTGTTATAGTTGTATTGTTATGTTGTTATAGTTGTATTGTTATGTTGTTATAGCTGTATTGTTATATTGTTATAGTTGTATTGTTATGTTGTTATAGCTGTATTGTTAAGTTGTTATAGCTGTATTGTTATATTGTTATAGTTGTATTGTTATGTTGTTATAGCTGTATTGTTATAGCTTTATTGTTATATTGTTATAGTTGTATTGTTATATTGTTATAGCTGTATTGTTATAGTAAAACCTGTAAACGAGCCCATACTGCTAACTCGAACTTAAATTTAGTATGAACTGAACGGGAATTCTATTTTATAATTATATATAATTCCTAATCCTTTCTGACTGCCTGGCACAAATTAACGAAACTAAAATTGCACCATAAAGTTAAGTTATTCAGCCAGCAGAGTAAAGCCTTCTCTGTTGGCTTTGTTATGTAGCGTTAGCTATGCTAATAAAAAGTAACCAGTGCTAACTATAATAGCCAATCAAAGGATCACTAACCTTTTCGGGACGGTATCGTTACAGTCTCTCCTTCTTCCATATCGGTCACAAATAAAAGTCTTCGTTAAACTTAATATAAAAATGTGTTGTTAGGGTTACGACAGTTTGCAAAATGTTGAGGCTCTGTACGGCAACGGAGCTCGCGCATCCGTTTTTGAAATTACCCGGTAGAACTTATCCTCCTCTCTGATTGGACAATTTGAAATTTTGATAAAGAACACGCATGCGCGAAACTCCTGCCTTGATTGGAGTAGAGAATGTAAACACATCGTAGACCGTAAGAAAGAAACACACAAATCATCGAGAGAAATCATCAGGAATGAAATCCTCGAGTTTATTTTATAAAACTTGTAGGCTGCCTATATGATAATGATTATAATGATTTTTAAAACTACTTTTTTTTTACTCTTTCTGTATTCTCGTAAAGCACTTTGAACTGCAATTCAATTTGTCTGAAAGGTGCTAAATAAAGTTTGATTGATTTATTTGTGTTTATTGGGCAATCCAAACATAATTCATTTCTTACATTGTTATTGTTTTTGTCAAATATCATGTTTTAAAAGAAATTAATATAATACAATAGAGATTGGTATGGTAATAATAATAGCGTCGTTTGTCAAATGTTTTTTGTAATAGAGAAAAATAAAATAACAAACAAGCACCCCACATAAAGAACCAAAGAAGGAACAACAAAGTTTGATTGATTGATTGATTGATTGATTGGTTGATTGATTGATTGATTGATTGATTGATTGATTGATTGATTGATTGATTGATTGATTGATTGATCGATCGATCGATCGATCGATTGATTAAGCCCATTTATTATATGAATAAAACACCACAACGTGTTTTTACAGTAATATATTGAAGCAGATAATATGGAGGCACAATAACATTTCGGTAGCCTATCTTCATTTTAAACTATTAAGATCGTTGAGTATTGAAGATAAATATCCACACATTGCTACTCTCAGATTGTAACATTATTCCTGATAATTTGATTGGAATATTTCAACCTATGATAAGCCATGGTAAATGGCAAATGGACCTGAGCTTGATTAGCACTTTTCTAGTCTTCTGACTACTCAAAGCACTTTTACACCACATGTCACACATAACCATCAGAAGTACTTAATCCCATTCATACACATGCATATGCAGCTGATGAAGCAGTAGGGGCAATTCTGGGTAAAGTGTCTTGCCCAAGGACACATCGGACGTGGCTGCAGGAGCTGGGGATCAAACCTCCAACCTTCCGGTTGAGAGACAATTGACTCTACCAACTGAACAGCTGCCCCATTATTATTGCTTCTATTATTAAAAATGGTATTTGGAAAACCTCATTCTGCCAAGTAAATTTAGCCGTCAAATTCATGACGTGGAGTCATGAATTAAATAATTCCTTCCCTCCACATGTGGTGGAAAGAAGTATAAAGATGTGAAGAATGGAAATATGCTCAGGGAAAGTTTAAGTAGGATAGGCTACTTCATATTAACATAAACTAGTATAGCCTAGACAGACAAACTAATCATTAAAAATAGATAATATGTCTCAAAGTTCACCTTCCTCACCAACCTGGGGCCACATAGAATGATACAAATTTAGGAATACTCTTTGGTTGCCATTAGTGATTTTCTGTGTACAGAAGAAATGACTGAGATTTTGAGGAGGGTTAATCCTTGATTACTTTACTAATTTAATTTACTAATTTACTAATTTGAATAAAGTTAAATATCAGATCCTGTTTAAGCACATAAAACACAAATCCAAATGAATTTTAAGAGTTTATTTAATATCAATTACACATCATTTAAATAGTTAAAATAAGCAGACATCCAAATAAATATTAATGCTTAAAGGTTGTGCTGCATAAATAGATTGATAGATAACAGCACTTACACTGTGTTATTGTAATACAGCGCAATAAATATGAAGGGTGCTCAAAAGAAAGCACAACAATGCCACCGTGTGGTGGAACTTGACTAGGTCAATACATTAAGCATTTTACTGTCTGTACTTGGTACAAACAGTAAAAAGATATTCTCATGAGACATTTGCCTTTTTAAAAGCAGACTATTAATTTCTGTAATGCAGTGGTATAGCACATTTTAAGACCTTTTTCACACCTGAGCTCAGTTTGTGAAAGGATCAACCTTCACCAACATGAGAATCATTCATCATGTTGGGTATCTTTGACAGGTTTTAACTCTGACGCTGGATTTTGAAGGTTCTGTAGCGTTGGGCACTCTCCAGGCACATTTCGACTGGCTTATTGTTTTCTTTTTCTGTGCTGATGTACCAGTCGCTGTAAGGGACAGACACCAGGGTGCTGATGTTCAGTCCGGTGTCCTGTTTGTAGAAGAGAAACCGAACCATGTCGCTGTCGGAGCTGATGCTTAGTAGACTGTCCTTGTCCTCTACCTCCTGAGGGGCGAAGAATTGATGTTAGAGTGTAATCAAATGATTAATCATGCTCTCTGTTTTTATGCTACTATTTCTTTGTAATGATGCTATTGTATATATCTGGATGTGCGATTGATGTCCCTTGAATTAATGTTCTCTCACCCATATTCTTACTTAGTACTTGCACATATTTATGGAGGTCTAGCTTTATGTACTGCTTATAATCTGTTTTTACGCAGAGATTACGATTTATCTACACTGTGTCTACAGTTTTCATTATTGTTGCATTTTTAATTGGGATTTAAGTACCAAGTTTTCTGAAAACAAGCATGTCCTTGAATGACAACAAAATTTCAATTAATCCTTGAATCATAACATAGTAGCTCTCTAGGATGAAAAGATAATTCAAATTTTTTGTCTCATCTCCAGCTTTAAAAAAGAGAAATATGGTAATAAGCGTATTCTTTAACCAATTTAAAATGAGGCTTATGCAAGAGTTTTACCTCTAGATGCAAGGTTGCCTCATCACCGTCCTTGTGGCAGGTCAGGTAGAGATTTGTGTCCTTGATGCCCAGAGCTACAGTTCTGGCCTCGGTGCTGGGTGCAGGGTTAACATAGGTCGACATGTTCAGTTGAACTGAGGAGACAACAGGGGATATAAGTTAAATCCACAATAATTTACAGAATGATTTTCCATCCAATCTAACCATCCAATATAAAAGGGGCATTACCTTTGCGGTTGTCTGCACCTCCCTGCAGCATCACTGCATGGAGCTCCATGCTGTTTTGGACCAGAACTAAGCTCCTTTTCTCGATGTCAGTCACGCTGCATTGGTGCATGCCCGTCCTGCTAAACTGATTTGGTGGAGCTGAACCACGCTCAAACACGACTTGCTCTGAGGGGCAGAAAGAAGAACAACTGATTAGATGGGAAATAGCAAGAATTGAAAAAAGAAAACAGTTATAGACTTTTTTTCTACATGCACAATCAAATTGGGCTTGAGAGCCAGAAACATGAGTTCGCTTGATTAGTTAGTTGTTTATGGAGCAGTAAACGAGTTGCCAACTCCATTATAAATAAGATATAAAATTGAACAGAATGGGGAGAGTATCAAACTCTGAGAAGGCCAAATAAGAGTACCGGTAAAAGTGTGAACGAGTGTTAGTGGGTCGGTATCCAGCTACAAAAAGTTTTGAACACTGAACAAAAGTATATAAACTTTTTATTCCCTTTCGGTACTGGTAAGTCACGTGACAGTGATCCTAATGGTAAATGACCCATTTTGGAGATTTTAGCTGTATATATTCAATTAGCTTTGGGGGGAGGTTTACATATTTATTTTTCAACACAGACTTTACAAACGATGAAGCTAATTTCACATGCAAACTGGGACAAAACTCCTTGCTTGTAATGCTGCAGTGTTGCAATGTAGTCTTGGGTGTGATTACCTTCCACAATGCTCTCCATCATCATGTTCAGCAGGTTTTCATCCCTAAACTCGGTGCTCAGCAGCGACTCTGACGCACCGCTCTTCAGCTTCTCTATGGCAATGATGAGGTTCACAACGCGCCTCATAGTAAGAGGATGATGGGAATACTCCAAGTCGATCCCCTTGGGCATCTTGGGGGTCCACTGCTTGCTCATGTTGCATTGCATCTTGGAATCCATCTTTGTTTTTCGAATCAAGAAAGTTCTGCAAGAAGACAGAAAGCAATTCTTAGTAACACTGCATCACAACACATACATGGAAATAAAGCTGGGTTTTAGGTTTACTTCTTATTTTTGTTATCTTTACCCTTTTTACCATTATTAGCATTAAATATAATAATTTACTCTTCATTTTAAAGACTTAATTGCATCTCTGTTAGCTGAATCAGTTATGACTCTGCTATATAAATACTTGACAGTAAGGCTTTAAAACTAACCATATTGAAAAAGATAAAGATGAAGACATGAAAGCAGACAATTAGCCTTATTATTCCAGCAATTAAAAGTCACCAAGAGAAACAAAGATCCCTTTTCTCAAAATCTGTTTGAGTTAGAGACTGTCAGAGTCAAATGAAGTTAAAAATAAGAGTCAGTTACCTGATAAAGCTGATTGGTTGGAAGTTGTGTTATTGTGTGTAAGATCCCAGCAGTTGTCCTGTCAGTGTTGTTCTGTCTACCTGTGCTAACCTGCAGCCTTTTTATACTCATCACAGACACAGGAATTTTTCCCAAGCACACAGGAAGTGGGATGGACTTTTTACTGTGTGACACGCCTGTGATGAAGAAATACTGTACTACACACTACTGCTGAGATTAAGTGACACATGCACATATGTAGACACACTTGATGCAGGCGTAAATAGCAGTATGACGCAAACTGTAGGAAGTAGGGATTATATGGTATTGGTTTTACACGTTTCTATGTGGTCATTTTAAAGAAATATTTTAATGTTGGAAACTGAAACAAACAAAAAGCAAAATACAATTCTTCAGATGAAAAGAGACCTGCCCAAAAAATCAATTCCGTGAAAAATGATCTAGTCTAAAATATTAAAGTCACTTTGGAGCTACAATGCTTAAAAGAGAAAATGTTTTTTAAAAAAAAGTGTTGTTATGCTTCCTTTAAAAAGATGCAAACCAAACACTTTCTTCCTCTCTGTAGCTTTTTTACAGATATCTTCTAGCTATCTACTGATGGAAAACTGTAAGGCTAATTGATATCATTATGGCACAATTTCATTTCATCACAGTTCAAATGTAAACACCGGAAGTTAAATACATTTCCACTTACCATATAACATCATGACTTAATTTATATTCATGTTTTTACAATATAAACTCTTGTGATATTCAGTAAAAGATTTCAATAAAAAGGTTCAAAATTGTGAGGAATTCAATCATTTTATTAAGAGTCAACAGCTGAATTATTAAAGACTAAGTCTATTTATATATGAAGCTAGGAGGATGGAGTCACTCTAAAGTTAATATAGACGCATCGTCATAAATCAAAAGCTGCTGTCTGGCCGAATCAGATTCAAAAATGTTTAAAAGGAAAACATGTCTGTAATCTTAATGCAGGGTAGATGCTTGCCATAGATATCATGTAGTATAAGGTAAGCAACTTCTACACTTCCATTGAAACACCTTTTAAACTTTTAAAGGAGCCAAATCACAAAACAATAACAGCTGAAAACATCCCTTCAAATACCTTTGAATAGATTTAGTTAAAAATCAGCTGCCTTAAAGTCCATTTACACCTTGTCTTTTGTAAGTAAGTTAAAGCTCATTATATGTAATGATACATTTTCTGTACATGTGTTTCCAAATTCTTTCACGTCTTCAGAGAGGGCTTTTGGGAGTTTTGTCTGTTCTTTAATTGTGGAAAAAAATTCCACTAGCGGCAGCAGATGCGCATGTTGTTTACAGTTGCATAATCACGGCTGAATCTGGCATTTCTTCACTTCCCTGTTGCTCCTGTTGTGTGTGTGTGTGTAATACAACAATCATAGTGTGTAGAAACTGAAAATTAACATGTTGTTACTCTGCTTTCATGTGAGTCACTCCTCTTGAATTGCAGCTGTCTGATGTAAGTGGAAGTTCCTCTCACTCTCAAACCCAGAGAAGATTTTACATACTTTAATCTAATCACACCTCAATTATTGTATCAGCCTTCTTACCCCCCTGAGCAAAAACATCTATAAATCGACTCCAGATGGTACAGAACTCAGCTGCCAGGCTTTTAACAAGAATCAGAAAGCATGACCACATCACTCCGGTTTTAGCATCTTTACACTGCATACACTGCATGTTTTAGAATTGATTTTAAGATTTTACTGATTACTTTTAAAGCTCTCCCAGCTACATACAACCTTTAATTAGCGTTCCATAAAGGCCGACACATACATTGAGATCCTTTGACAGAGGTCTTCATGGTCTTTCCAAATTCCAAACTAAAAAAAAAAAAAGGATATAGAGCGTTTGCTGTGAAGTGTCCTAATACTGTGGAATGATCTCCCAAAGGAGATCAGGTCAGCTGAGTCAGTAATCTCTTTTAAATCCCTTCTTAAGACGTACTTTTACCGACAAGCCTTTCCTGATTTTAGTTTAATTTTATTTTTTATGTGAATTTTACTTTCTCTTCAAGTCTTTATGTCTTTTCAGTTATTTTAAATGCATTTTCTGTCGTAAAGTGTTTATTTATTAATCTTTTACTAATCTGACCTGCCTGTTTTAACATTTGTTTCATTACTGCTGCCTTGTAAAGCCCTTTGTGACGTGATTTTGAAAAGTGCTCTGTAAATAAAGGTGATTATTATTATATTTAATATTTTATTTTAATTATCTATGGTTAATATGTTTTCACTTGGTCAGATTTTGAGAGGGAACTTAACTTGAACTACATTCATACCTAATTCCCGGCGGTCACTTCTCAAGGTAAATTGCAACAATAAGTTACACTAAGGATTACCTCCCAACATTCATAAAAATAATAATCTATGGGAAAAACATGTATAAATTAACTATTTCTGTTAACATGTCATTAAGACAAAGAACAACACTAGCGTTTATTTGGACTAAACGTTCAGGCAATAGCATGAGCCCAGTATTTTCTACAATTGTAGCTCGATTTTTGGTCTCCACCAATGCCTAAGAACATGTTTCACTTCAAGTCATCATGGTTTTTCTATTTTTATTCATAGCTTAAAAAAACATGAGCACATTGATATAAAAGAGCAGAGTGAGACCACTTGCACCAAAATATGACCGATAGATCATTTGTCTGACAGCGTAGTATGATAAATATTACAGTTAGTTATCCTCATAGCATTCAAATATGGAGGACATGAGAGATCCCTGATACTGAAGTCTGCAGGATAGGTCATAGGATAGGATAGGTCCACCATGTTACTGAATGGGACATGGGTCAAACTATATAACTGAAATATAGCTCAAATAAATCCTTCTCAAATATGGCTTCTCTCTTAATAGTTAGTCCTTACCAGGTTGATCATCATCTAACAATGTGTTTATTTGACTAATAAAGTTTATTTTTAATGAGTTATTAGATACTTCTAAAAGGGGTACAACACCGTGATTGACAGCTCTGTTGACAAATTTAACTCCTGCAGCGCTGTGCCTGAGTAGAGGATGAACAGCAAAAGAAACTTAACAAACACTAACACAATTTTGTGTCCTTAAGTGTCTGCTCCAAACACAAGACATACAAATATGTTATACTGTACTGACCTGAGGGATCTTGGACATTGTATCTGTTGGTTAAATGTGTGAGTTGGATAGGGTTAGGGTTAGGGTTAGCACCAAGTGAAGACTATAACTCCAAGATGATAAATTGACTTTTTTGCAATGGGAGGAGGTGGAGACACGTCGTACATATTTTCAGCACATACGTTTTAGCCCCTGAACGAAACCCTCTGGTGGCCATTGCAAGAATCACTCAATCATTTTAATACTGAGATATTGATCATTTCTTACATTTCTCTTCTAGCCTCTATTCTGTCAGCTTTGACACTTGGACATGTTTGATTCAGGGAACCATCAAACTTTTGGAACCCTCTTGCCAGTGTGTGTTTGAGCTAGCACAGATTTGAGGTGGTGGTTAATTTCTCTGCTGAGCCCTCTGGGGGGTTTGTTTTGGACATAATTTCCTACAATAAGAATAATGTGATGAGACATACCTAAAAATTACACCTTGTAATAAGAGCACTGTTCTTTCTGTCTCCTATAAGGGCAGGTTTCTACATCGTACTTGCCCTACTTAGACAAAAGTTTCATCTGCCCAGGTGTAATAGAAACCTTATTGTATTACACACTGTTTACTTCTTACAAAACTAGATCGACAACAAAAATTCCCAGTGATGTAAGAAGAGGGGAGCAGCAGCTTCAGGATGTCTCAAGCTCAATATTCCTCACTTTCCATAACTATCGAACACTCTTCCTCCTCCACACCCAACCCGCTTGTGTGTGTGCATAATCCTGCCTGACTGGCAACCAACAAAACAATAAATGGATGTTTCATCATCATGTGTCATTTATGTTTGAATATACAGCATAAAGCAGGACCAACCTATCTATCTATAATCCTCATGTTGATCAATTCTGCTTCCAAGAATTTTCACAACCAGGAAAGACAAAGTAAAATGCTTACATGAGAAAACCTAAGATGAAGTGTTGTTAATATTACAAATGACACATGATTTACAGCAACAAAAAATGCAGAAACAGGTTATAGGATGAGTGACTTATGTATCTGAATACATCATAAACAATACACCTCCTCAAATTAAAATGGACAGTGAGAGAAAATGCCAGTTTTTCCTTGTTTTTTTAAGCTTCAACTAAGACTGAGTCTTTCACTAACTCTTTTATTTTCCAACTTCAACATTATTGTACATTATGAAGATTTTTACAAATATAATCTTTGTATTTTGTCTTTTTCTCTTGGCTACAATCCCTCCAATTTCTTAAAAAATCTAAATTAAAGTTTTAAAGAATAGTGATTATAAAGGTATATTGGCTAATTTGGCTAAAAATGTACCTGAATATGCTTGTTTGCTCTTGTAGTAACTCATTATTTTCCTTTTACTTTGTGTTCTCTTTGTGTAACATTGTGCATCTACCTTTTAAAGAGAAAATCTTTGAAAAAAGGGAAACCTAAAAAGAAGTCCAATCACAACGATCCATAGAGAAATATATCTCATGTTTATTAATAACTTTCTTCATCTTCAAAGCTCATTAAGACAGGGATTATAAAACAGTATTTACACCTTGTTTCTTTGTTGTTGTTTTAAGTTAAAGCATGCCAGAGAGAATGAAGGACAATTCATTTATTCCCCCTAACACAACACCGGTTGCTCTTCGACCCCAAACCCAATTCCACAAATAAAAAAAAGATTTTTGTTTCCCACAATTACTGACAGTGTTATGGTACAAAAACAAGAAAACAGCTGTGAATCACAGGCACACAGGCACGCACACACACGCACGCACGCACACACACACACATAATGACCCAAAACCCAGAACAATTGACCAGGAGTAAGGGAGGGGGAGGGGGGGATTGGCGTGCTCCAACATGAACATTAGTAAGCACAAAATCAAGAACAATGTCAGTCATAAAAATCATCAAAAAAGCAACAAAAAGTGGATTGAGAGTTTGTGTGGGTTTGTGAAAAATAACTCAGGAATGAGCACAAAAATTATCCATTACAGTTGTTTCAAGACAGTGAAGGCAACAGAACGGTGAGTCAGCAAGTTCCTTTAGCTTCTTGTTTGTGAGACATGACAGAGTTATTTATGAAAATCTGTTTCATGTCTGCAAACAAAGATGATTATGAAATCCTGGTCAGTAACTGTATTAACACAGAGCGACTTTGCCAGGAACTTCGGCAAATTTGTGGCTTTTCGGGGGAAAATACCGCTGTCTATGCTAAAGTGCTTTCATTTCCAATGGGCTGTATATACTGTATTTTCTTCGCTTACAAAAGCAGAAGTTCATGTTTAAAATATCTATAAAATAAAACATTTTACAGAAGATGAATGGCTATACAAAAAAGGAACCACATTAGTTGAGTAAAATGTAGATATTGATATGTTATAATAGGCTATGGGTAGTGCATAAGTTCCTCTCGAAATAAAGCTATTTTTATCAAATATTATGAACTTTTACTCCCTGGGATTTTATCCAAAGGTTTAGACATATTGCTCAAACAGTTTAAAACACAATCCACAACTAAACTGGATGAAATGATCAACAGTATGTAAAAATAAAAAATAAAAAACTTTTTATTTCATTAATTTAGTCCATACCCTTTTTGTGACATTGGTACTCCATACACGTCTCTTAGAGCAAAAATACCCCACAATGAACAAAAAAGCAGCAAGCGGTATGTTTAAAGGTAAATTCACAAGATCACAGGTGTCAACAGTCAGACTGAGGCAATGCAATGTTTCAATGAAGAAACCAGTTTGAGTCCAATATTTACACAGATTGCTATGTCTGCTAGCAGCAGCTGCCTTTAGCTTGTTAACATTTAAACTTTGGTTTGGTCTGTGCAGTTAATTTAACTTATTAAAAAAGGCGTTGACTCCCCCTATACCCTTATACATAACGCTTGTTGTTAAATGTTGTGGTTTTCAAATGCTAACAAATCAAACTATAGCTACTGTGCAAGAGCTCAACTCTACCATCAAGTAGCCTACATCTGAAACCCAGATATCTTTCAGTCATATTTTTATGGACACTAAATCCCAGAAAAGTGCTGCTGCTTTTCCGAATTTAAGAAAACACCTTCAAGATAAACTGAACAAAATTTTGCTTAAGGTGTTCTCAAGCTAGCTAGTTTAGCAGATGTTAGCAAATCCAAGCTAGCTTTAGAAACTTACCGTATGCAAATATGTTAACAGGCATCCTAACCAGTTTCAGTGACTACAACAGACAAAAAATGTCATCAGCTGGTTGTGATAAAATAAATAGCTAGATATTTTGTATCTAGTACTGGGTTACTGTTGTTTTGTCATTCAACAACCGTGTTGGTCACAAAATATTAAACTTAACTTTCATGAATCCTCCAAATCATGAGGAGCCAATATTGAGTTCAGATGTATTCCATCCTACTTATTCACATTTTAATTATTAACTTTTCCTGAAATTTAAGTCTGCAATCTTGGCTTCACTGAAATTTAACTCAATGATATGATATTACTTAAAAGTCTAGTCTGCCTTTTTTATTTGATTGTTGTGAAATATGAATTATGTGACTGAACATTTCAAGTTAAAATACAATTGTCAGAACAGCATTATTTTCAAGGAGAAGTTCAATTGGACTCAAATTGTACTGCTTTCAGCACATTGAGTCAAACTTCATTACAGCACTGTGTAAAAAAACCCTCAAAATTAATTCTTAAACTTTAGGTGAATTTAAATGACTTGGATGTTCATAAACTGGATGTAAAATAACTGAAATATTTAAAAGACAAATCATTAAATTCAGCTCAAATATTTGCAACCTGAAGATAAATCACTGGCATACTGTTTGAAAGACAAAATGCATTAAACAACTTGTCGTCAATTTTTGTTAGTTATTTTTCGTATTCCCATACTCAAAAGCAGGACAGGATGCTGGGTGAGTGCTTATATTGCTTTTTCATTTGTTAAATTGCTTTTTCATTTTCATAATCAGCAAAGAGTCCTGAAAATGTTTCAGTTTTTTTTGTGCTTTTGTTTTCAGAGGGCTTGTGACATTTATGCTTCCTCAAGATATGAAGTAATTCCAAATTCACACGAAAACAGAAATGACACCATTTGGTTAAGCTTCAGTTTCAGATTAGTTGTAATAACAGAAATAAAAGTGCTTTATCATTCCTCTGACAGGGTAGAAAGAGTAGGCCAGGTCAACCAAAACCAAAATAGGGCTTCGTTAGTTTAACTTTCACACAGTTTGTTTGTTGACAAAGATGGACTTCAGTGATTACAAAATGTGTGGTCAAAAGTAAGGTTTTTATCTTAGAAGTTCAGAAACTATAAATAAAAGTGTTAAAATTATGGTTGGTTTTTGTGGTGAAGCCACTTCCCTACAGCTCATGTGTCGTCTTCTTCTCCCGATGTACTATCATTTCCCCAAATCACTTTCTGCACACCATTTAGAGAGAAGAGCAGAGGGCAACTCCTTTGATTCACCTGTGATTTATGTGGAAAAACATGAAAAATGTACTTGCAGAGATACTCAAAGCGAAGCAGAAAAGACTTGAGTAAAACCAGGGGTGAAACTTACTAAAAACACAACTTTTCATGTGGCTGCATTGCATTCTGGTACATGTAGTTAGTGTGTGTCCCAGCTGTCTCTCTTTGGCTTTCAGAACAGAATCCAATGTATTAATCACTTTTCTTGATGTACTTCAAAAACACAAAAAAAAGAAACAGCACTGTGGCTCTGCTTAAAATCAGGCAAAGAAAATTCAGTCAAGACACAGAACTTGAGTTTTAAGGATTGATTTTCCTTTTAAATCTCACCAGAACTTACAGTAAAATAAAACTGGAGTGTGAGCATTTCTGTGAAAAAAGACCTTGTGAAAATCAGTAAATATACAAAATTGTTTCCCATGAAATTGGCTGAGGCCAGGGTTGAACGGTGTGTCTGCAGAAACACACGAAACAAAAAATATGTGTCAGCTGTTCAGTATGACAAGAGTGACCCCCTCACAGAACAGATAATAAAAAAGGAACCCAAACGCAACCAAATCAAATGATCATTAAACATGTAAAATTTCACGAGGCAAAATAAAAATCACATTTCTCCCTCATACAACAAAAGGATATATGCACGCACACACACCTCAATAAATAGAAGTCTCAGATTTTCTAGTATTTTCTAATCAGAATGTGATCAAGCTTTCCTCTTTTGGTTTCTGTTGCCGCCAAGTGTTGTGACGGCCATTTTGGTCATAAACAAACACACATACGTATGCACATACAAATCACCCTCTCTTATCAGTAAACACCTACAACCTTTTTGAGACGGAAACTGCTCATCATGACATTTTTCACAGGTCAAATATAAAAGATTTCACCAAGAGAAGAGGGTCTGCAACAGTTAATATACCCTACACACTTAATTTACCACATTCATAATGATCGATTGTCTTAATCACGGTACAGACAGGCTGTCAATTGCTGATGAATTTATTAACAGCTCTGGGATAAAGGCTCTCGGCTAATCACTGATTCTATCCAGGAAACAAGAAGGAAAATATATTTATATATTTATATAAATCCACCCCAAACCCCTTCCCTCCCATCCCCGCCTGAAAAGTAGTCACTAAAATTCTCTTGTGTGTTCATCTCTCACAGAATTTTCAATAAATATATCACTATAGGTTTTTAAGGAACATATATTAATTTGTGTGAACTCTGCTGACATGCTTGGGTCGTCTTTGTCTTCTAGCTGTATGGGTGTTGGGGAGGGGGTTGCAGGCTGCTACACATGCGACACGCAGGGTGGTTGGGTAAGGGGTCTCCCTGAGTCTCTGAATAGGAACAAGAAATTGGAAGCAACACGCACACAGAAAATGTTGATGGGCGAGAGAGAGGAGAAGGAGCTTTTCTGGTCCAGTCAAGCAGGTCCTTAAGATGTTTGATAATACAATAAGGAGCATGTGGAAACATACAGACACACACATACAGGTACTCCTCTCTACCATAAATGAGTGTTGTGTTTTAAGTCTGTTCGTGATGGAAAACATACACTTTGGCATGTCTGTCTGCTAGCGTTGTGTTCATTCCTTGCATATTTACACAATATGCATGCACATGGCTTGTCTCTGTATGTATTGCCAGCTGTGCAAAAGCTTGTATCTGCATCCGCCCTGACACACAAACGCACGCATGCTTCTCCCTTCCTCAGCACACATTCTGGCGTAGTAGTGCACGCGTGCAAACGTAGCAGAAAGACGTATGACAGGGGGTCAGATGCTGTTCTCCAGCTGGCTGTGGTGGTTGGCTGTGTGCGGAGAGTTCTGCTCATTGAGGAGGAGGAGCGTCGTCTCGTCCGGCCCGTTCTCCATGGGGGTGGAGTCTGTTCCCAGGTCCGTGATGGGGATGTTGACAGTGGTGGCAGGGGGAGTGGTCTGATCCATGCGGGCAATGTTGTGGCCGCTCTCTGGGGACTGTGGCGTGCTGTCCAGACGAGACGCCATCAGGCCATTCTGGTACTGGGACCGTGTGATCTGAGAGAGACATTGGATAAGAGTAATGTCTTAACTGTTTCTTTCGCAACATTTCTATTATTCCTATTTCTTCCTACTGTATATCTTTGGTTTTTGACTTCTGCATTTCTTGCTTGTTTGTTTTTGTGCCTTAAACACAAAGCAACTAGGCTATTTCTGATAAAGGAGAGCTTTGCAATAAATCTGAATACTGCTCCTGGTTCTTAATTCCACCAAAGGAATCTCAAAGGGAGCAGACTGACATTTAGGGAATTTTGCGTCTTTCGTTTTTCTTGGTTTAAACCTAGAACCTCACTGCTGTGAGGTGACCATGCTGACCAACCCACCACCATGCAATTCTACCAAAAAACTAAAGAGTTCCAAAACAACAACTGTTGTTAAAGCTCTCATTGAAACACTCCCAAATTGTTTTTGTTTCAATCCATTTAAGTATTCCTCTGCAAAATACTGAAATATTATATAATATATAAGTTTCGAGGCAGTTAATGTAACCCATCTTTTAGTTTAGAGATCCTTTGTGAACTGAAAAAGAACCGATGATTAACTTTTAAGCTTTTTTCACTGCCTATGTCATACATGATCTTATAAACACTATAATATGGTGTGTGTTTGCAGTGTTTTTCTAAAAGGAAATTGTGCGGGTACCTTTCAGTCATCTAATTCCATCATGCTTTGAATTGTAACCAACCTTGACAAACTGCAGGTCTGTGAGTGCTCGGACGTAGAAGTCTGGTGTGTACTGCTGCGACGGGATGCTGTTATTCAGCTGGCTGCTGCTGCCACTGACGGAGAGCGACTCCGTCCTGTCGGCTCCACTCAGAGAGGCCGTGCGGTTTAACCCGCTGACGTTGGACGGCGAACGAAACTCTGTAAACATGTACACAAATACAGAAAAGGTTAACAACAACAACACCTGTTTGCAGCTTGAGACATAATTATGTGATAGAATATAATATTTATCACTACAGAGAGACGCAGTTTGGGTGAATATTCAAAGCCATTGGTGGCTCTATAATACAAATACAGATCAATGATAGACTTAGACAAGATGCAGTGTAGGTTCCAATGCAGGTTAATAATAATGATATGATGAATGCACAAAGAAACAAACAAATAAAAGTCATGTCTGTGTTACACAGACTAAGTCTTAGTCATTTGAAACAGTCTCATGACTGTGTCTGTCTACTGTACGCTATCTTTGTTTCACTATCACAGCAGCATCGTGGGGGAACACCTGCGCCCAAACTCAAAATTTTCCAACAGCGTAACAAGCAGTGACTCAATTTGTGCTCATTACCTCAAGCCAACTCTCATCCTTACTAAGTATTATTATTATTATATCATCTGTCAGCTGGTGCAAGATGCAAACAGACATGTGCGTCATTAACAGAAGACACATTTAAAACTGTATAACAACTCTTAAAAAGTGAATTCAATTTAAATACAACATTGTATAATTAAATGTTTCCATGAACCTAGTTTCACATAACATCTTAATAATAGAAAGTGCAGATAAGTTAATAAGAGATGCATTCGTATCACAAAGCAGTTTTATGTAGAAATCCCCAGACAGTTACTACTGTTAATGAAGTATGAAAATAAAATATCTTCATCCCAAAAGACTTCCGTCTGTTTTTGTCTCCTGGTTTTTGTTAAATAAATACCCAAGTACAAGGCAGGGCAGAATGACTTTATTGTCTTTATCAATTATCTATCTCTAATTGAAAATATTTGGTTTATAGTCGGTCATTAATAATATCGCAGGGCCAAAGAATAAACTTCACAAATGGATACAATTTTCAGTGATTTGAAACGGACAAAAGGAGAAAAAGCACACATTTAAGAAGCCAGGAGTGGTAATTGTTTTTGTAACTTTGAATGAAAAGTGTCCCAAATGTTAAGTCAAAAATCTAGATTCTTGCCAGTTTATTGTCTGCGCACTGCCCTATGGATCTGAAGTTAAACCGCTGCTTTATTTGTTGTAGGTACAGTCGAAAATATTCAGCAGTAGTCATCTTAGTTTACGTTGTTGACAGTTTCTTGATAACAGTATCACTAAATAATTGGCCTACAGCCCACACCAATCCTTCCTCTGGTTATTTTCCACATCTGCTCCTTAAACCACAATGACTAACAACTCAAGGGTGTCATCCAGCTGACAGCTTTGTTCAGGTCTTATTGTTGCACGCCATCCAAAACGAAACTCTCAAAATGTTTCTGACACACACACACGCACACACACACACACACACACTCACATCAAAACTCATGCTCATTACCAGCTGTGTATTATTACCAGTAAGTGCGAGTCGTCCTGCAGGGGGCCTCAGTGAGTCATAGGAAACTGTTTTACCTGGACACGTCAACTGCGTTAGCGTTCATTGAATTAAGCTAGCTAGTTAATGTTGGAAATCTACGGCTAAGTTTTCTAGTTAGTGGTTAGATTTCACTTAGTCATGAGACAATATGTATTATTTTGATAATAAAACATTGACTTTTAAGATCCAGCAGGTCACTTTTATTGAACAAGATCCTGTTAATCTAAAATTCATCTTCAACTTTTAAAACCATAGCTCTCACATATTTAGATTCTGAGCCGTCATTCATCTTGTAATTTGCACTTAAAATGACTCTTATTGCACAGATGTCAGAGGCTTTTTTTGTGCCAGCCGTACAATGTCTTGATTTTACATTTATTAAGCATCTGTCATAGTGCCTTACATGAACCCGATGCTGGCAAAAGTTGAACTCTAGGAAGATGTTTGGCTACAAGTCACTATGACCCAACAGAAGAATTTCTGCATTAAGATGGCACAGAGCTCTATACTAAAAATCTAGGTTTACAAATACAGTATATTGTAAAGATTTGAAGGTCCTTGTTGGGCATCAAAAAGGGCTGATAATAAATTGAAACATCATTAAAATTAGAATAAAATACAAATGTCCAAAGTGTAGAAGTTGAAGTTTTGGGAAAAGGTAATATTTTTGAAGAAATAGCATTGAAATGAAGCACCTTGCTTCTACAGAGATGCTACTAACTTTGTTCGAGTGATAAAGAAAACATTTGTTTGGCAAACAGCCCAAATGTCACATCAGCAAGACTTTGATTCGATATTGTAAGAGAAAATGAAACCTGGGATCCAAAAATGATAATTCCAACTTATTGTGAGTCACACTATAATTAAATAAATAATAATTAAAATAAATGTCTTTCTATTTTGTTCAGCCCTGCATTGACATAAAAGTGACCTGCTGGATCTTCAAGTGAAAATAAATCAGTAATGCTAACAAACTTGTGACACGTGTTAGTGTTTGTGAAATGTAAGAAAAAAAATTAAGAAAAGAACAAAAAGAAAAAAAAAAAGAAGTGATGGAACCAGTTCCAAACTTCCTTCAGTTTAAGAACGCCTTAAAAAATAAAAAATACATAAAAATAAATGTCATTTATTAAAAACAAGATGGAACATTTGGAACTGGGCGTCTGTGATTTTGTGGTGAAAAGAAATGCCTTTTATCTAGAAAACTATGATTTGAACCTAACTCTAAAGTGAGGGATAGGACAACACTCTGCAGTATCCCCTTTACTTGTCCTACTGATGAAATAGTAACGGTGATATTTCATCTAAAAATTCTATATAAGAAACAGAAGGAGAAAAACATCAGAGGCTATCACTCATCCAAAGTGAAAATGCTGCAAAGATCGAACAGCTTGAGGGGCTTTAAGTCACATCTTGTGCATCATGATGTTGTCCTATCCTTGCTTTACATTAGAGACAACATGTGATCACTTTCTAAGTACCCTGCAAGTTGAAGGTATGTGCTCACATTCAGGCAGATGAGCTCATTGATCAACTTTTGTTTTGTTTTTTTTTTACTTTGAAATTGACCCGTCCATGCCCGTTTAAACAATGAGTCCCCCATTTTCATCTTCTGTTATGTTCCATGCCTATGCTTACACTGAAGTCTTCTGTAAGGTCCAGGTTAGCCCATAAGAAATCAACTTGAAGGGGAAAAAATACACTCTAAATTTGTTGTATTTCTTTAAATAAATCAGAACCATCTTGGGCTAAGCGGATGATGCAGCGAAAGTTCACTTACCAAAAGATATAAAGGAGGGGATTTGTTTGACAAAACATTTGTACTTAGGAGGCAAACCCTGGTATTCAAATAGTTAAATTCCCAGCACTTAAAGCATAAAGATTTACACATTAAAGGGGTAGAAGATGTATGAGAACTATTTTTGAAACTGGCTTTCAATGTATGAGAGTTGAGAGTTTTATAAAACCCTTAAAAATACACTATACAATTTTTACACTAACATATAAAATGTAAAAACACTCCAGCTACACAAACTCTAATTGATGATTATTTCAATATCTTTTTCTGCAGATTATATTTCTATAAAAGTTTGGTCTGTGAAGTGTCAGACGGTAGTGAAACGTTCATCACAAGTACTAAGAACCTGGGGTCGGATTCACAAACATTTTCTAAAGACAGAACTTAGGAAGACTCTTATTAAAAAAGTAAGGAAGTTCTTAAAAAATGACACTGTTTCCAAGAAAATCTATCAGGAATTACACTTGAGAAGATTCTTAAGAACTTCTTGATTTTCTTTAGTTTCTTAATAATAAAAGTTCATAAGAAGGTTAATTACCATGACAACCAAAAAAAGCAATATTTCCTTTTTTAGGTATTTTCTTGTTTAAAAGAGTGACTCAAATGAACAGTCACTCTTCCCCTTTCCTGTATCTTTTACTCAGTGCAAAATTTTTAAGTTGATAAACAAACCTGACAGCGCTCCCTGTTGGACAAAGTGTGTAATGGACTCACACTCTTTGTAAAAAGCTTCCAACATATCTATTGCTTCTCTATATGGGAGTTGTAGTTAGTTAGCAATTATACCCCATGGTCTTGTTGAATACTTGATTCTGAGTGGCTGCAGGATGTCCATTAATTCCTGATACTTACTATAATAATAATGCAGTACAGTGGTCTGCTCATTGTCCTTCGTTTGAGCTGTCTGACCTTCATGTGGCCATTTTTATTCCTGAAAAAGAACACCTACCTAAGTATTAAGCAGTGACCTTTATATTCCATTATCCCTTCTATTCTGGACACACCTGGATAAATCAATCAATCATAAATCAAGGAAAATAGAGTCCAAAAAGCAGACACTCGTCACTCTACCTTCAGTAAAGCCTGAACAGAAAAATGTATTTGTGAAAAATAAGGTTTAAATTTGTCCTGTACAGTTACAAAAACACCGACCTACACCTACACATGTTTGCTGATATGAGATAGATTCACTACCTCCTACTCATCTGCTCTGCAAAATCCTGCCAAATAGATTGTTGACTCAGTAAAATCAGGTGCAAGTTTGGTTGTTTTGGTTGATCAAAGAGCTTATTCGCCAAAAAGAAGCCGTAATCTTGTAGCTGTTCGCCGTCCTTCGGGATAAATGTTTACTACGATCACACAGTGACAACAACTAGTGCTACACTGCAGTCTATGGGCCAGAATTTCATGTATGGCAATATATTGAAGAATTAAGAAACCAAAACTAATTGTTTTAACCCATAAAGAGCAGAGCATCAGACATTTTCTGCTCTCTGTGATCAGATGTTTTTGAAGTAAGAAAACCTCAAAGACATACCTGGCGAATCAAAGCCAGGCCCCGCCCACCCACCCTTGAGCCCTACCCCTCCTTGGTGTTAGAGGACCCAGACATGCCGGAGTTTACCTGGCAACCGAGAGAACAGAGAAAACCTCTTAAAGGAGAGAAGGCAAGGACGAGGAGCAGCCACTGAGAGGAGACAAGGGAGGAGGAGATCCATGGAACAGAGGGAAGGGGGGGGGGGGTTTGAAGGGGGTAAGGTATAGTGAGTGACACAGAGGGAAGCAGATAGACAGATCTGAGTCCAAACAGGAAGAGTACATGCAAAATACGGGTGAAATCCTCCTCCAGGGAACATCACACATGAGATGTTACAGTTGAGATTATTTAGTCATGGCGGCTGTTGTTGAGCTGCTTCTGAAGATTTGATCCATCACAACTTTGATGACATGGATGAATGTTTATGACACCGGTGAGAGGAAATGACGGCTAAAGAATTGAGCAATGAAGTTCAAGTCTTTCTATAGGTCAAGAAAAAGTTAAATTACCCAACATTAAGATTATTCATCTGAGTTTCCACCTTAAAATCAGTTAGATTCAAGAGTGTGACAAATAGCCTCCTAACACATTATGAATCTTACTTACACCCTCCATAATGTAGAGTAATGGAGCAATAGGCCGAAATAATATAGCCTATATATATTTTACATCCTCCTGCCCTACTCTTATATTCCTAAACAGGGTTTGAAACATAGAAAAACACAGGAATGGAAAGATGAAATTAACACAAATGCACAGCAGACAAATAGTCCATCAGCTGAATGTTAAGAGGAGAATATCAACACTTTATGGAGATTTTATTCCAACTCATTAACATACCAGCAACACTTGTCTGCAGATAGCAGGTGAATTTTCACACACCATTTCACGCAAGATGACACAGTGTGACAATTGACTGACTGATTCACACCGAACACCAGATGGAGTTTATTTGTCCATCACAATCTGCTCCAAACTCAGATCTTCACATCGTGTTGCCATGAATCTATCAGCTTCTGTCATTTCCAGCCACCAAACAACATGCTTCAAGATAAGCTGAAAACTTGCTAAGACTTTTATTTTAGTACATACAGTATGTGCAGATTATTATGACTTTACTTGTGGTTGTTTCGCTGTCAGTGTAATTTTTTGTGTGTATTTGCCAACAGAACACAAACCTGGCATAAGGCATTTCTTCTAAATGCTTTTTTCTTTTGTAAATGCCATTTGATAATACGACCCATGATAATAATAATAAAATGTCCTGCAGAGAGATTATACCGTTCAGGTTGTATATTGTATGTACTGTATTAATTAACTACCATATAAGCAATATCAGTGTTTGCTGTTGGAAGACATGCCACCAGAACACAGTTTGCCTCTTTGGTTCTTGTTTTTTCTGGGTTTGATTTGATGTGTTCATTGTTGACGTTTCACAAACTTGTGTTGAAGAGGCTTTTGTACTCATCTTGTCAGTAGGTGACGGTAGAGGCAAATTCTCATTTAACCCTAGAAATTAATTAACAGTGCATTAGAGGAGAGGAGAGGAGAGGAGAGGAGTTGAGAGGAGAGGAGAGGAGAGGAGAGGAGAGGAGATGAGAGGAGAGGAGAGGAGAGGAGAGGAGAGGAGAGGAGAGGAGTTGAGAGGAAAGGAGAGGAGTTGAGAGGAGTTGAGAGGAGAGGAGAGGAGAGGAGAGGAGAGGAGAGGAGAGGAGTTGAGAGGAGAGGAGTTGAGAGGAGTTGAGAGGAGAGGAGAGGAGAGGAGAGGAGAGGAGAGGAGAGAAGAGGAGAGGAGAGGAGTTGAGAGGAGAGGAGAGGAGAGGAGAGGAGAGGAGAGGAGGGAGAGGAGAGGAGTTTTACACTAACCCAGCGTGGGAGCATTGAGTGCCATGACACCGTAGAAGGAGAAAGGTCCGGTCTCAAACTTCATGTTCTCGTTGCCGGCCTCCACCTCCACACGTCCCTGATTAAAAAGAGGGGAAAAAACATGAGACAAAAAAAGATGTTTTATATGAGTTTACAGCCGTGTCAGTATCAAAAACCTGACACCATAAAAAGATGCATGTTGGACTTACTGTATATGTAGTCTATAGAAAGTCAAAGTTGTTTATAATGGGATTAGACACTTTACCTGTGCAGAGTAGCACATTTTTCTGACTTAAAAACTTGTGATTTATCAAAAGGACCAAGAAGTTATCTGCAATATCACATGATGTTAACAAAGCACACACACAGACTTTCCTCACATGCAGGCCAAGAGAAAGTCCCTTAATCCCTTTCTTAATCTATTTCCTGTATTAAACTGTTTGTATTATTTACCAACTGGACATTATTCCAAGAAAGAAATGAGTGAGGATGAAGTTTATTTTACTTTGAATGTTTTTTTTTTTTTGGTTTTTTTTAAGAAGCTGCATTCATTCACAGATGAAAGTTGGCAGATAGATGGTGTGGCACCTAAAAAATCTACTTAAGGTCATGTGAATAGCTTTTTTGGAAGCTTATCAGCTGTTTAAGGATCTAAAGTAAATGAACTAACTTTAAGACCATGAGATAGTTTTTCAGTTTAACGTTGTAAACTGAAAAGAAATGAATCAAATCCTTACATTTCAGAATCAGGAACCAGGAAATGGTTCATAATAGCTCAAAAATACCTCAAACATTGCCCCCCGCCCTCCACCTAAAAACAAGCAAACAAAAAAACAGGTCCAGTAACCGTCTCAGGCCTAAACAGAGCAGGACAACACAAGTCTATTTTTTATAGACAGACTGAAAAAAATCAAGTTTTTCTGAACTTACAATTTCTGGTCTGTAGAGGGCAGTATAGTTAAAGGCTAAAACAGGGTGACTTACAGTATAGTAGTAAATATTTAAATGATTCCTCCAGAGGGGCTCAGCATCATTTGTTGGAGAACACATGTTTACTTTGGTACTTTGGCCTTAATTAAAGACACTGTGAATCCGACCCCTTTATCATTTGAAAAAAGAGAAGTGGCTTCAGAGGGAATATTGAATTCTCTGTCAAAGTAATAATCAAGGTGGCTCAGCAGGGGGAAGAAGACATTAAAGTCAGGGTGAGGTGAGAGGGTGAGAGGACAGGCCTCTGTGTTGGTACAGTGAGTTGGCCTGAATCGGCCCACTGGAATGTGTGAACTGCAGCAACAACACAGCACAGTTAATCCACACTGTCCTCCCTCCATCCTCCCACATCTCCCCTACACACACACGCGCACTCATCAACACACACACACACACACACACACGGCTGATGAAAGCAGAACAGGTGGTAAAATAATAGGGAGACAAAAAGAAAGGACAAACAAGACAGCACATTGAGCTAGCTGTACCTGAAAATGATTAAAGTCACTTTCAGATCACTATTTCTTTGGTGCAACTTCATTCGTCTAGTTAAATGACCTCTGCAGTCTTGTGGATTATAAAGTTGGGCTTAAGACGTCATGATGTTCTTCAAAGACTCAACCAGTCAAAACCATAATGAAAAAGAAACTTGGGATGTTTTTTCTGTTATGCAAAGACTTTGCAGTTAAGTTTCATGGACAAATGTATAGTTTATAAGGTTCAAAATGTGTTTCCCTGTTAGATACAACTGCATGTAAAATCTTCCAGGTGATATAATAAAAAGAGAAAATTAAAATTAATGCATTTACATTAACAAGGCAATCAAATTAGACTTTATCAGACTTACTTGTCTTTACTTTTACCTTTTTATGTAAGTTTCTCTCCAAGATCTCCAGACTTTGACTACCACAGCAGAGAGAGTGAATGTTTACAGTCATAAACAGTCGGATATAGCCACCCTTGCTGCAATTTAAGGCTGCAAGCCAATTTTAGAAACCTGACTTGGAAATTACAGGAGAGTGTGATTGGTGGGTAGGGGGCTGGGGTGTCTGTCACTGAAGTTCAAGTGGACCTCTCAAATAACAAACACTGAGCTGAATTATCTCACAGCATCTTCCTGAAACTCAACTGGAAACATCTCAATGGATGTCAACACTGATCACATCTAAACTGTACATGAAGTCTGACCCTGCAGACTTTTCCGTCTATGCAAAAACACAGATTGTTCATGCTGTCATGATATCGAACTTTCTATCTTCAGGGTTGCACCTTAATGTTTGTCATATAGTTCTGGTTTATCTGTAATTATATTTGAAACATATCTATTAAGTGTTTGCTCAGTAGAATATCTTTAAAATTAGACCAGCACATCTGATCACAATTTTAATGCATACTGTTGCATGAGCTTTAGCAAGAGGCACATCGCACAAGTCTTAACTTTTCACATTCAATAAGAACAACTCTTCGAAAGAAAGCGAGCAATGCTTTCTCGCCCAGCATGTGTACATTTAGCCTATAAATTGGATGCCTGAGTATAATGGCCATGAGGATTTTACAGCATTTTATAGTTCACATGTTGTGTCCCTGTAAAGCACCTCATGACTCATCTTTGTGAGACGCAAATCAAAGCCAATTCATTTTCAAGTGTAAATGATTAAAGATGATAGAAAATGAAGGACGCAATGAATCCTCTAATCCTTCAGGTCTTGCTATTTCTTTGACACTGTAACTAATTTTGATGTGGCTAGTCGCGCAAACTAAAGAGTGAAAGTTGTCCTGAAAAATAATAAGTCATGATCATTGATCCTTAAGGCGACAGAGCACAACTAAGACTTGTTTTGGTTCAATGCGAATTGACGTTAGAAGCATTCAATCAAGTGTGTCCATGTGTAAAATATGCGTTGTCATAACTTCTATATATTATCCCCTGCAGTCCAGCCTGTAAAACACACCACCCTCATTTTCCTTTTTCAGGCTTTTTGCTTCCTGGTTTTCTTTGTGCTTCATAGTCATGCTTTGATGTTCACAAATAGATCTCAGGCAGTCTTTGTCCAGAAAGTGAAAACATATCGTCTTAATGAGGACAACACTTCCATCTGTCATCTGTCAGCTCTGCTCGTGGAGCTCTCTGCATGTGGAGATACTTATTTTCTATCTTTATTCTGAAAGGTTAATTCTTTGAGAGAGGATGGATGCCTCCGTGCCACCCCAGGTCCAAATTCACAGCTTCACACATTCACACCTGCTCAAAACAACTACAGACTTCTACCTTTGGCCACTGAGTAAGCAGAGGTCAAATGCCTTGCTCAAGGACAACTCGCTGCTGAAATAGAAGCAGAGATTCGCTGCAAGCCTCCTCTGGCTCTGTAAATACTGTAAATATCACCCCTCAACATATGGCTGACTCTGCGTGTGTGAGAGCTTGAGCTAGGGTCAAATACTTAACCTGTAACACATGCACACACAAAAAGAAAACAGCGCAAGCATGCAGACTCTGAGGTGATTTGCAGTTATCCAAGCTGCTGCCGCATGGATGCAGTTTAATTTAAAAAGGGAGGCACGGGGGAGGGACGAGAGAAAGAATAGAAACAGAGGGAGGCGGAGGATAAGAGTGAGAGGTGTAAAACCTGATGGGGCTCTGGTCAGACCAGTTTTCCCTGATCTGCACTGACGGTACAGCCTGCCAACACTTATACAATATACTGCAGCAACATTTTGTATTAAAAAGTAGGGCTCTGAGAGGGCTAACACAGTCCAGATACTTTATTACAGAAGTATCCCCCTGTCAAAGGCTGGTATCATTCTTATTTCTGTCTGGTATGACAAACAACTGTGTATTGTGCAGCCTCTGCAGAGATAGTCTGGGACATCAACTCAAAAAACCTGCTCGAACATGGATCTAAGAAGCACTTCCATAAGACAAAGTTCAGACAGAACCGCTGTCTATTTGAAACACATTTGTGGAAGTCACATGCTGGCAGGTGGCTGCAGATGAAAGCAAACTAAGAAACACTTGTTACACAGTAACCACATCGATTTTATTCTATATGTCTATTGTGAAAAGCACTAGTGCCAAATGTGATGCATATGATCAATTTTGGGATAAGTGAAGCCCTTTACAAACTGTTGTTCAAATTTCAGCAGTGTGTAAGATTAAGTCAGATGAGATTGCAGATTGCAAACCAACTGAAAACTCCTCCACTCAGCCTTTCTCTCCAAATAAGCAGGAGGACACGAGGTCAACAGAAAAATAACAAAAACTGTGTCAAAGGCCGTCTCTAGTATTCAGTCTTATGGTTAGCCTGATGTTTCACTTCTGTAGAAATATAGCAGTGCAATATGAAAACAAGAGCATCCCATTACAAGCACTGCCAACATAAACACAACATGATCTACCACATTTAAAACAGTCTGGATTGCTTCAATTTAAATTTCTCCCGTTCCTAATGTTGTTGTCCTTCTTACTTGTTTAAAGTCGGGAAATCAGGATTTGCTGGCTAAATGTGAAGTCACATACCTATAAGAGTCAGTATATTTGAGTCAAGATTTGATGGAATTGTGGGATTAAAAGTGCTAAAAAGTTACAAGAACTGTCAAAAGTGCAGAAGGAAGCGATAGTGTGATTTAGATACTACACACAGATACTTTTCTTATACTCCTTTATTTATAGTCTTATGTCTTGGCATTAGAATGAAAATCCATGTTATCAAGCAACAGTTTATTCGTTATTTGCTATCAATATATTACTGGTTTATGACCAAAACTGTAAATACGGGAAAAAAAAAAGAACCAGAATGCATAAACCCAGAAAAGTCAAATGGAAAGTGACAATAAGAATAGTAACACACTTTAGAAAACTTGATACTTTGACCTAATAAGAGCAGAACAACGTCCCATTCTTATTTATAACTGAGAGCTGTGTCTTTCAGCTTGAAGTTTAAACAGGAATGTGTGTTTATGACGTGTTTTTGGTGAGACATGAGCAGGAGGAACTGAGCTATAGGTGGGTCTTGGCCAAAGTTCAAGTCGCTATGATGTGACTCATAAACAACGGGAGTGAGAACTTTGTGTCCTATCTTCGGTCTCTCTCTATAACAAATGAGACAT